GAAGAGAGCAGAGTGGGTCAGGGAACAAACTGGGGTTAAAAATATCACAACTGAAATCAAGAAGAAGAAATGGACATGGGCCGGGCACGTATACCCGCCGGTCATTAAGGGTAACATACCGTATCGCCAGAGTATAGGGGAGCCAGAAATGTACGAGGGGTAGACAGAAAGTTAGGTGGGCCGATGAAATTCAAAAGTTCGCAGGTATAACGTGGCAGCACAAGAGCGGTTCGATTGGCGGCCCTGCAGTGGGCGTAGTCAGGCTGATGATGATGACGTTATGATGACCTCCTCAGGTGATGATTTTCGCATCACTCGAGTTGATGGTTAATTTCCATGTTTCGTGAGTCATCCAAGGCTTTTGCCTTAGAAGGACGCTGAAGAGCAAAACGATTTTTCGCGTTCTAGTAAAGTACCATTTCACAATCCCGAAAACCACCGCCCTTACCGCGACACGACGCTTGATAGGCAAGAAAACGCTCGAATAGGAAATGCTGGTGGAGAGATTCCCGCCTTGAGATTCCCGCAACAAACATCGTGACGTCACATGTCTTGAAGACGTCTATACTGAGTCCTACGTATTCTAATCGATAAAGGAAGTACATGGTCATCTATGAGTGTAATGGACTGAGCAAGCATGCGGCGTTTCAGAAAGAAAGATGCAAGAAAAAGCAGGGAAGTTAATCAGACGCACTTCCGGTTTGCTACTCTGCACCGGGGAAGGGATGAAGGGGAGAAAAGTGAGGAGACCGGGAAGAAAGATGCACATTATCACGAGCACACTCGGGGGAGCACACGCAGCCTACAGGCGGTCGCTCAGATTCGTTGTGTTCACGCGACTTGGCGCCGCTTTGACGCACGAGACGCTGCGGCTGAGCCTACCTGACTTCTTCCGGTTCAGCGGTTCCAAAGATGCACCAAGAGCGGCGACAACACGAAAGTCGTTCGTCTAATTATCCCAGTTTGTCGGCGCCCCCCAAACAACCCTTTGGACACGCCTGACCGACTGACGGATTGGGAAGAGTTGTTGGCCGTCGAGGCGGCTTGCTTTGTCGTCAAGGTGCCCTGGGCAAAGGGTCCAGCGTCTGAGAACCGTCTGTGGATGCATTTCCCACATCCTCTGTGGCGCCTTGATGCCGCTGTTTCCACAATTTGTGGTCTGCCTGGCCCCGCAGACCCATCACTGCAACAAACTACGAAATTGACTTCCACGTAAGACTCAACGTCTTTGTGCTGTGCTGTGTCGTGCACGGTGGGCAGTGTTTTCTCCCTCGCCATGGGCTGAACTGGGCGTGCCTCTTCCCCCTTTCGTGGGTTGGGAAGGAGGCGGCGTTTCACCTTCCTCTTTTGGAGGCGGAGGTGAAGGTGACAATTTTCATTGGACTGTCTAGGCCTCCATTCTTTTTTTTTTTTCTACAGGGAACCCTGGGGAGGCCAGGACATAAAATGCAAGCGCCGAGGCGCTCCTGACAAGCTCTCACAAGCTCCCAGAAGCTTCCATCATGCTTCTATCGAGAGCTTCCATGATGCTGCCACCATTATGTAACACGCGACCTGTAAATATTGTAAATAAAAGTTACTGTTAACAGCTCCGGGCTCCTCTCCTCGACATCTCCCCGATATTCTGGCTGGCTCCGGTCCTCTGGGCAGAACCCCGACTACATCATCGCTTTCTGTGCTATATAAGCGCACGCTCAAGGTGTCAGAATCTTCTACCCAGAGAATGGTCTAGAATACAGTTGCACGGTCGCTGGATAAAAAAAAAAAAAAACGTCTAGAGGCCGTGCCAGTTGATTCAAAACCACCCGGAGCTGGCATCGTTTGGTGTCGTAGCAAGCGCAGCTGCACAGGACGTGCTCGATGGTCTTTTCAGCTCCGCAGGAATCGCATCTAGAGGCGTCCGCTATGCCTATGCGAAACGAGTACCCCTTTGTGAATGCGAAACCCAACCAAAGTTGGCATAACAGTGTCGCATCGGAGTGGGAAAGTTGCGAAGGAAGCTGTAGCTTGAGAGAAGAAGGATCCAGTTCGTATAAGTGACACCTTTGGGAGCTAGTGATGACCAAAACGTGCAAGTAAAGTTGTCTTGCCCCATCAGTCCTTGATAGGGGAATCTGGACCACTCTCGTTCCTTCGTGGGCTGAACGGGCTGCATCATCGGCTAATTGACATCCAGTACTACGGGTGTGTCCAGGCATTCACTGATCTATCATATCATGCCCTCGTGCTAGAGATTGATGGTGGAAATGTCTTATTTCATGCCCCAATTGCTCATGATTCCTCTGACGCATGGTAAACTGCAAACTCTGAAGTGTATGATGCCTTCAAATCACAGATTAAGACCCACTTTTCGCTCTTGAACGAGATATTGTAAAGTGGCTCTTATAGTAGCGAGCTCCGATGCCGTAGACGTAGTCGTATGCGACAACTTAAAGGGGCCCTGCAACACTATTTGAGAATGGTCAGAAAACGCTGCCCATTGGTTGTAGAGGCTCCCGACAACACGCGAGCCAAAATATAGCGCAGCACACCGCCTGGAATTTAAAATAAGTTATCAAAGTCAGTTAAAAATTATTTTCTATTCTATCGAGAAATCATAGAAGACGCTCAAAAATCACCAGTAAAAAGCCCAATATAGATATTGGCTTATTTGAACATGGCGCGCTCAGTCGTTAGAGAGACCGCTGCGGGAGGCGCGACTTGTCCACGCGTGCGCGTGAGATCACGCTGACAAAGCCGCGCATTCAAAGAAGAAGAGAAGCGCTCAAGGTCACGAAGTGCGCGTGATTTTTTTTTCCCCTGCCATCCTTCCCTGCTTAGCTTCCAGCACTTTCGTCAGGACGAAAGGAGAGAGAATGCAACTGCAGCATGCGACAAATCTTTGTAACTCCACTCGCACTGGACGGATTCTTAAATTTTTTGCGGCGTTGAATATGTGAGGCATTAAGCTCTTCCAGTGAATTCATTCCACGGTTACGTGAAAAAGTGCTTCAGGGCGCCTTTAAATTTCATTGCCGTTGCTGCAGCCGGAACTACAGCGGCACCTGATGAGCTGCTGGATGATACCGACGCACCAGTGTACATCTGCGTTCGGTTCAAGCACGACTCGCGTAGTAATACCAGTGTCGCCTTGGGTATATCGCACCATTTCTTGATAAATGAGCGAGCAATTTCTAATTGACCTTGAAATTTAATAGTAGTTTACCTGTTGAGTTTGGCTCGCACGTTCGAAAGAGCCTCGACACTATCGATTAGCAGCATTTTCTGACTATGTTCAAAAAGCGTTGCCGGGCACTGAGTGCCCTGCAACCTTCAACAGTCCACAGCGCTCGTTTCGAGAAAATTATGATGTAAGTATGTAGTTTTTCTTTAACCGCTTGCACAATCAGAGAAAACGAAATCTCGTTTCACAAAAGTATCTTGTGACCGACACAAGGAGCGGCGTTTTCTTTTTTTTCTCTAGAAGGCCCCTCTCGTACTGGTGCGTGGTCGCTCATGTAACTCCGAGCCTGAGAAAAATGTTAGTACTGGGTCTAGACTAAACCGTATAGCCCATGCGGATACTCCTACTGCACTGCCGGTAATTGGATCGGTATATGTGGTAGTGGTTCTTAAACATTCTAGCTTGAAGTACAGCTCACACCTGACAACCATTTAGGAAAGCGCTTTACCGTCATTATAATACCGCAATAAAGTGGTTTGAACACCAGCAAGAAAACACTATGTACAAAACCGATACACCAAGCAATGCAACAGCATGCCTTCCTTTTTTCTCTACTAAGTAAACGGAGGTAATGCAAGAAGTCCGCGGTGCTAATCGCAAATATCGAAATGTTTACCGACGCTAAAGGAAAAGCACCTGTTCTGAAAGCGTTGTGCTTCACGCGTTTATTATTTAAATGCCATAGCTTACGCTAACAAGTCAGAAGCGCATACGACACATTTCTTTTACAGCAAGAACAGAACATTGTGGACATGTTTCCATCGAAACGACTTCGAAATATGCAGTACAGGCACACGTACCTTCGCGTCACGAAGAAAACGGATGTCAACGTCAGCTTGACGAACGACATGCTCCCATTTCGTTTTTCGGTTGTCCTTAGGAAAAGAGAACACTCGACACATCGGTTCATTGGCCGCGACAATGCGCCACGCAGCATCGCCCGACAGTTCGGATTTGCCGCCGTGCACATTGCGAGTATCCAGTACACAAAGCGCATCACATATCCACGCTGCAGTTCACATTTCACAGACACAGAAAAACACGGTTTTCTCAAGTCGCCAACAAGCCCACCAGTACGCCACGAGAAAGTTTGTCAGGTTTGGCGATTCGTGTCTGTCGAGCGACGAGAGCAAGCGTAGGCGCGTCTGTACAGTGAAACGCACCGGTCTAAACGGAGTGACGTCAGAACCCGCGGCAGAAACAGTGAGCAGGCGTGAAATTATCTAGGTGGCATCGGCACACCACACCCGTGCAGCCCCCCTCCCCTTCCCCCTCCCCCAGGAGAAAATTTTTTTCACCGTGGCATGCAGAGCGAACAATGACTATTCCAAAGGACGCCCCCTTTCCGCGAAAAAATTTCTGCCTACGGCTCCGATACCCATGGTTTATGGAGGATACTCGTTCGTCAAAAGTCGTGGTAAGGTGTACAGGAAAAGCGTTAGGAGAGCTATCTATCCTCCTCTACCGCCATATCAGAATGGGAGTATCAGGACCCTTCTGGAGGGGATGGGGTAGGTACAAGTCCCCAAGTTACAGGAGGCAAGCTCCTGTAACGTAAAAGTAGAATGATAGATAAGACTTAAGTATTCATAAACAAAAATATCAACACTGTGCCTGCTCCCTAACATACATTTACATTCTGCATTCCCCATTCTAAAGTAATTGTTTCTCCAATTTTTTCCAGAAGAAAGAGTTAAGGGGTGACAACATGTCATTGATAAAAACTGACAAAAGTAGCCATGAAATGCTTCAGCTAAAGCAAAAGACAACACAATTATGTTCAAACAATACAGCTTTTAATGTGCCATGATGCTTCTTGTACAAAAACAAAAGTATGAAAACTGCAACTACTCACGAAGCCACAGGGTAATTTAGCAGCAAAGCTATGTGTATAGGCAACACTGTTTTGTGGGACTGCACAATAGCAACAAAATATCAATCCTATTTAAAGTAAAACAGCATATGCACAGGGTCACATCCCAATGCACTGTTTCAGAGTAAAGTGCCTACACTTCTATAGGTCTCAGTACCAGTTAAGCAAAAGGAATTAGCAAAGCGCTAAAGGATAACATTTCTTATATAAGCAGAAATTGCACAGTTATGCTCTGCAGATTCATTTGTAATTGTGACACAGATGTGTTGTAACAATTATTCCCCCAAAAAACAAGCCATCTATTTCCTTTGCTGATCCATTTCCTGATAAGAGCTGATTAGCATACTGCTAACATTCTGAAGAACTTTAAATACTAGTGCAAGAACACCAATCTCCTAGATAGACACACATTTATATGTAGGACGCAGCAGAAATGAAAGTTAAAACCACAAAAGTTTCATCATCAGAACAAAGTTGCTCCATGTGAAGAACAGTGGAACTCGTCTGCTTCACAATATAAGAAGGCGAACAATATATGTGAAATGGGGTCGCAAGCAAACATACAAATCTGCCTCACAGACAAGTATTTTTTGCCTCTATAACTTGACCTAAATGACAAAAGGTCAGCTTCACTGCATTGCCTGCGTGATACCCTTTTATCGCAATACACATGATGACCAAACTTGGAAGTCTGCACGATATACGAGGTATCCTAGGAAACATTAACATTCAAACCCCTAAATTTGAAAAAACTTTGCTGTGCAAAACGAAGAGCACACAATGCAGACGGCAGATTCACTGTAGAATTTGAAGATTCCTATGTCAGCACGTTAACCGGGCGAATCAGTACATCACGAGTTATTGTTTATAAACAGCTGGTTTATTGTGCTTTATTTTAAGAACATTTACATTTCTATTATCGAAATAGTATAGCACAAAACATGTCTGTTGCAGTCTGTTATAACTGTTGAAATATTGGATGGTGCATAGCGATAAAAGCTCTTTGTAGATGCCGGCTTCAGTTTTCTATTTTTTGCTGCAGAGCTCTTTTGCTTGAGGAGGTCCCGGAACAAGGAGACAGACAGCCACAACTGAAACTGCCCGGAGAGTTGAGTACAAAACGTACCGTTGGGTGCTAAATATCGTAAACATCACTTGCCCAGGACGTTGTACGATACAGAGAGAACCTAGCCACGTACACAGCTGGCAACACCAGAAGAATACTACTTACGTAATTTTAGTCATTGTAAGAAGACTGTTCATTAGCTGCATGCTCTAGTATAAAGAACTACTAGATCATAAGGCAAGAGGAAACTGCTTTGCTTCTTTAGGCTGAAGTAATGTGATTACAACAGAGTACATTTGCTTTTCTCGTAGCTGTCAACTTTGTTTACGGTATTTTTGGAAAAGATATGCTTGCTTCAAGAACATTTCTGCAGCAACTCCCCGAATGCGACCAAGTGTTCTGGTACTAATACCGCAGTTTCTGTGAACACTGTACTTCTGCAAACTTGATTCAACTCATTGAATAATTATGACCAAGAAAATGTGTTATGCCAGACTGGGGGTCTGCAGTTACTTGATTTGAGACTGTTTCTCCTAGAGATAACCGTCGGTACAAAGAACTTCACTGAATCCAAGGTTCTTCTGTACAGATCCCAGGCAAGTACAGAGGAGCACAAGACAAGGAAGAGCCAGTAACTTTTTGTGATATGACAGAAGTGCAGTGCAGAATTTCTAAAGTACGTGTAGTAACCACCTCTTGCCATTATCCTGCTCCCACAAACCAATGAGTAACTACAAAATGGTGTCTTTGGCTCGAGCTTCTCTTCATTCATGGCCTGTGCACAAAAAATCTGCTCCTAAAATAGTACTACTGGTATGCCGTCTGCATCCTCCTTCTCTACCACTCATTTGCATAATTTTAACATTAAAGTAAATTATTTCTAACATGTATGTGTATGCTGATAGTTGTCTTTTTTCATGCTTCTTTTTTTTCTATCCAATTAAAAATACCAGACAATGCTGTACCAACAATCGGTCAGCACAGAAATCAGATGAGCTAGCGTTTTCCGACGCGAGACCAACATATGTTGTTGAAGTCCTTTCCTTCTGTGTAGTGATGGAGCTCAATTTGAACCGAACATCGCACGTGTAGTGTTGAATTCTTTAATGATGGGAGAAGTGTCTTTCTAGGCTTAAGAGAAGAACAATGCTTTTGTGTGTACTCACCAGGCATACCAACTACACTTATGTGCTCAGCACAAAGATATTGCCATAATTTGAAAGAACACGTGGCTCCTTTTTGCCCTTCATAAGATGGGCTTAGTGCACAAAGTGGTCACACACTAGCGCAAAGTCCTAAATCTTGCTCGGTTAAAATATCTATTCTATTACATACATCTATATACACGACGAAAGGCGAGAGCCACCTGTGACAATATACTTCACGCTGTATCACATTTGCACTTGAACACGACTTTGGGATTGTTGTTCACTGACTGCCGAGATTCTGTCATGTTATATTAGGTTAGTTTCAGGCTGTAATGTGATCAAAAGGTCAAGTCTTTTCATTAAAAAACAGCAAAAAAAACAACAACTTTGCGAGTGACACAATCTCTCATGTTCGATTTGCATTAAAATAAATTATGTCTTTGATGGCTACAAATGACAGGCTTTAGCACTTTGTATGTTGCACCCATAACGGCGTTGAATTTGCAGGCACACCACTTTTTATTTTTATCCACTTGTGCAGAACTACTGCACATATACAATGTGAAGCATGGAGTTCTTTGCCTATGCAGTGCTATTACGGACACACTGTACACACTGCTAAATCTTGCTAATATCAGGTCATATTATTGCATCACACAAGACTTTCTGACCACTTTAATCCATCGCCTTTCAAACGATAAAGCCCTGTGGTGTTGGGAGCACAATCCGGTGAAGTACATGCAGCCAATGAAGCTCCATGATTTCAATATTAATTACTTTCTGTCATCGCTAAAAGTGATATAGATAGACAAAAAATAATAATAAAAGAGCAAAATTACTATTGCTGCACTTCCTGCTAACACTGAGAGAGAATTCAATCTTTTCAGTGCAAACAAAGTTTGCATTTTTGATGACACAAACATGACAAAAGGGAAAAAAAAAATTGCCTTACCTGTAAATATCTGACTAATTGGCTGAGTTCATCTTAAATTTCCACAAGTAGTTTTCCCCTTTTCATACATATAGTACATTTTTCTTCGCTGTTGATCTTTAGTTGAATGTGTTTCTTGTAGTGGCTTTCGCTAAATTCAGAAGTGTGTAATTTCAGTAATAGTATGGATATATGCTATTTTCAGCACAATAAGTTGAAATTTACATCTATGATGTTAAAGCACTGTGATACAGATGTTATAGACTGATGTCCTATGACTGCGAAACACAAAACTGGCTGACTTTTGATTATTGCATGCAGTTTTCAATACAACATTTTGAACCATGATCAACTAAACAACAGGCAAATGCAGAGTCCAGAGACTGTAGTTTAAGTACAGAGTGAAGAGATTGCACACAAAGGAGGTAAAAAACAATTAACTAGGGAGTGAAGTAAATGGCATCGCTAAGAATATGCTGTTGTTCAGAATGAAGACAGGAAAAGGGTCACACGAAAGAACACGGCATACTATGCAACATAAAATAAAAATTACCGCCGCAAGACGAAAAAAAAAAAAAAATACCGATTTCCATAGGTCTTTCGTTGAGATACGACCAACTCACAAAAGAATGACAAGTCGACCACGGTATAACAATCACAGATATATACGATCAAATATTGTAATGAGGTTAATCTCAAATGCTTTACTGATCAGCAGCACGTAATTTAGAAATGCACGGTACAATGAAGGTGCCTTTATGATAAATGTGACAATGTTATGACGAGATTCGACTAAACAGTTCCATACTTTATCAAGATGCGAAAAAAGATAAGGGCGAATGGCGATATGCCACACACATGCACACCATAGGCAGTGTATCTGGTCCACTGAACCATTTAGAACAAGGCAATACCTTTAGGAAGATTAGCTGTAAAAGTCGTAAAATGCTCAACCAGGGAAGAGATTAATTCGTAAAATGGAAGCCACTGAAAAACCTGTGATGCTCCTCTGCTGTAATTGAATAACATAACATAAAGCACCGAAGAATGATAAAATTTTAATTCATTCAGGGCCATTAATTAACCACATCACCTCATAAAGCTAACGTGGCAGGCCAGAAATGGGGGAAAAAGAAATTAGAGGGTGCAATTTGACATGTATAAGTCAACAAAAAAGTCCCAATGTAACGAAATTTGCGAAAGTCTATAAGGCAACGAAATCAGACTAGCTGGTGCAGTTGTCATGTCTTTGCAATGAAGAACTTTCATTTGAGATTTGCATTTTGTAAAGATGCATGTTCCTTTTCAATCTTTCCAGTACTACTTGTTTATTTGAATGTTGCACAATTGCAGTACCGTTTTTATTTTAACTGCAACCAGCCAAATGCGAAAAAAAAATACAAAAAAATAAGGAAACATATGTTACAAAACACAGGCCCCAACCACACTAGTGTTGTGAAAAAATTTGTTGCTGGGCTAGTTGGTAGAACATTTTGAAAAATTAATTTGAGCGGAAACACCCGACACATTCACGCATGCGCACACCCAGGCATCAAACATGCACAGCACTGTTGTGTTTGATGCCTGGGTGTGTGTGTGCATGAATGTGTCATGTGTTTGCAATCAAATTATTTAAAACACAGTAGTGTTGCTGACAGTAGCATGTCAACGGGCAGTACTAGAACTTCTTGCACCCTTTTCATGAATAGCATGAGGCAGTCATAAATTGAAGCTTCATTTCGAAATCAAACCACATTTTTGTGACTTTCTGGGTGCTAATATCATCGTCTCCAAAAAAATCGGCCATAACAAATGCACCAGTGACAATGAGAAAATGAAATTGAGACCTTAAAGGGACAATAAATGTAACGTTAATGCCAGACCTGACAACCACACGTTTCACACTTCTAATTTGCTTGCTGCACTAAATTTTTGTTTACTAATTTGAAGGTGGCATATTAAACTATTTGAAATTTCGAACTGGCAAAGTATAACCCCTCATGCATTGTGGTAGTGGCATCAGGTTAGGCCTAGACTGCTTTGTTTAGGCTTATGTCTGGTTAGGCCTGGTTTATTGGGAAAAAGGTTTAAAAAAACTGAAAAAACAACTTCACAAATTTGGAAAATATATCTGTTTACAGGTTCAAGTAGCATGAAACAAAACTGCTGTGAAGCGTGTGATGTCACAATGGGACGAGTTTGGATGCTAAATTTATTACGAAGAGTTTGTTGTCCATCGAAAGATGTGAAAATAACAACCTACCGGCTCAAATCGTGTCAGTAATTCAAACTACCTTTAATAGATGAAAAAAAAAGCAACAACACAGTTCATGCATGAGAGACAAGAACTTTACCATAAAATGCAGTGTTGAGAGAGATAAAGACATTATGTAAATGCAAGACCATTTGGAGAAGAATAGGACGAAAAAGAATTAGCCTGCTGTTAGCAACAAAATTGTGTGACTCCCAACATGCAGGTATACTTTCCCCATATGATCATATTTGTACACTGTGACATTGTGGATGAGTTGTGCGCCAAACAAGCACTACTGGCATCATGCACAAGAATAACAATCTCGATAGGCTAACGTTGAAAAACAATCATTTCGAGGCAGGAAAGAAAAAAAAAAATTGCCGAAGAGGTGATTGCAGGCATGATTCGCCACTTCGAACGAGCACTTGGTTTGCTGCGGCTTTTGACGGGTGATACTTATCCGAAACTCATCGTGTCGTAAACACCATCGAATCTCCAAGGTAAACACTGTAGGCACTCTAAAGTCTGCATATTACCAGCACACGTTGCGAACAGCAGTTCTGGAAGCAGCCACAGAGCACTTGAGACGCAGTGGTTGCTGGCATTTTGAAGAAGCCCTGAAACCAAATCTGCAACATTATTATATGTTTTTCTTTTCACTATTAGCAGTCTCCTTCACAGTCTGGCAGCTCCGGTATGACCTTTTGCAGCATCTACACCACATAGTGAGTCCATAATCTGTGGCGAACAGAACCGGGAAATTGTCGTTTTTGTCCGGAACTTGGGGCTAATTGCTGGCACACGACAGATGGGTTGAATGCTGAGCCAACAACTTCACTTTACGGTCTTCTCATTACTGACGAAGAATTCCGGAACAATTCTAACAGCTGAACTGAACAATGGCTATTTTGTTCCCTCGCTGAAAGGCAATTCGGATTTGCATGCCGGCAAATCCAGCTCAGCTTTCGTTGTGATTTCAGTCGAAGGAACCGTCGCAACGGCAAGGCTAGAGCCTGATTTGTCGACCTGTCGTGCACGCGCATATCAAGATCGGGCTGACTCCGCACTCGTCACACGTGACTCACACAAAGTTTCACACTGTACTGGAGTCACTAGCAGACCAGTTCCGATGTTCCCGGCTGAGCCGCTGTGTTCCTGAGCAGCGGCTGACAGTGCCGCTCCTTGTCGCTGTGCTCTTCGCTCGGGTGGGCCGCATTGTCGTTGCCGCCATCGGCAATGTCCTCCGCACAAATCCCTAGCGGGAGGACATCTTCTTTTTGCTCATCTTCACCCCAGCCGAGTGCGGAGAGACGGTCTAGTGAGATGATCGAGGAGACGATTTCTCCGACCGTCATGGGTGGAGCCTCCTTGAGTTCACGCTTGTGCCGCCACGTTATCAGGAGCCAGTCGAGGAAGAACAGTAGCCCTGCTGCAACCTTGAGGCCAGAGCAGACAGCAATGTACCTACACGTAGAGCAAATCAAGTGAAAAGAAAAATTACTCACTACGGCCTTTCACCTGTGATGCTTTGCACAAGCGTGCTTTTCCCCCTTTCAAATGGCTGTTAATTTTCTTGTGGCTTAAAGATTACAAGGTCCTAAGAATAGAAAAGAAAGAAAGGAAGCTCCTCATGACTATAGCCCGGATTAAATGTAATTATGAGGCAGCTTCAATGCCAGGTACCCCTTTGCATAACCTACAGATGAAAAAACTTTGAACCCCAGTGTCTCCGAACAAATTGACTTCTTCAAGAAAGGTTGAAGACAAATACTTATCCAAACTTTGGGTCCAGTGACACCCTGTGTTCATATATTTTCTATCTCTACAAGCTTCAATTTTACGCGGTACTTCTGCTTTATCGTATTTACGGATGTAAGTAACCAACTCCCTACTTTGGTCTCCGAAAGAAAAAAAAAAGAAACAAATTTTTAATGTATCCGTTAATTTTATTTCAAGGAGATAGCCAGTGCCGTTGACGATCGAAACAATTAAATCACGCAGCTGTATTACAAAATAATGACGCAATACAAGCCATAACATAGCTTAACAACCATGCTAAACAGTTGCTAGCATAACCCTTCTCCCGAATCGGCGTCAACTTTTCTGGTGGGTGGGTTCATTACGCGAGTAAATGCGGTATTCGCATTGCCAATTGATTCTTCTTGCAAGCATGAACCACACAAAGAAAAGTTGGGTGTGTTCGTTTAGCATGTTGGTTTGTGATTTCTACTCATTGTCGCCTTTTCCACACCTTTTCACAATATGAATAGTAAGCTGTGAGAACACAAGACACACAGTGCAGTGTTTATGTGGCCTCTTCGTTTGCTCTGTTTTACAGTACTGCCCGCCAACACTAGCAAACATACAACACGACCACATAAACATATACAGAAACTGTTTTTTGCATTGCTCTTCATTGGAACCACACTTTGCATTGACTGATAACCACTGCTACAGTAAAATATCGATGATACATATTTGAAGGGAGCACGCAATATAATCATGTCATCCTTAATTCATATGAACCTATGACAAGTAAAGCTGATCATTAAGGTGAACAAGAACTTTATTGGTGTCTACTACTTCTAGCTGAAAAAATGTTCGTGGTATTGTTTTGAAATCTGCTGCCTTCACCCCCTCTAAATAATTAAGTGCCGTGGTTTCTTCACTCATGCTACTGGCACTTAAAGCGCATTCACACTTGGCATCAGAGGGAGGGAAAGCGGCAGAACTTATTGGAAATTCACTCGCTTCACTGCCTAAGTAACCAGAAAAATGTGTCGCGAAGTCGCCACGAAAAAAAAAAAAATCAGTTATACGGGAGAATTCAAGCGAATGCAAGAGCAAAACCACATCTGCACCCATCGAAAATTTTTACATTTGTACGACCTACTACCGCCGTCTTTGCCGCTTGAGAATTCATTCCATTTTGCCCATTTTCTGAGCTATAAAATTCGTACAGAGTTCTAGTTATGCATTCAAAGCCCTGAAGGGAACAGTTTACACCTGTACAAATGTTAATTCGGGAAATACACCAGCAGACACGAAACAAGTGGACACACTGGCTGTGCCAGCGATTGATTCAGCCGGCAGTGCAAAAATGAGAAAAGTTTGGGCATGCCAACTAGCTTCTGCTGAACCTTCTTTTACATCCGATCTCTGCAGTGATCGTAATACGAACCAAGCTTTCGATGAACGCGTCCTTGTCAAGGCCGTGAGCTTTGTCGTGCTGTGCGAGTAGTTCGCGATTGCGTTGTCGCAAGCCACCGCTGACGCCTTTGCCGCCATGTTGAATTTGTGGCTTGTTATTTACATTACGTGGTTTGAGAGCTAATGCAGCTGGTGTAGCCAAAGCCGCGAAAGAAAAAAAAGGCGATCTTGGAGAAATTGGTCTCGGACCGATTTATTCAAGTCAGCCTCGTGGCGTGGTTTTCTGTCCACTTAGGGGGTGAAGTGAGGGAAATGCTCGTGAGTTTTGCCGCATTTACCTCCTTCGCGGCCCAGTGTGAATGGGCCTTCCTCCTACAGACGAGCCCCGTTGCGCCGTTGGGGTGCAGTAGTGAATCGTGCGTTCGTATCATCCGCCGTGGCTGGGGAAACCGTTTGTATAACGCCGAATCATGGCGCATTTTACATAATGCTGTACATTCAAAGCTACCGCAAATTTCGTACCATCATGAAATTTGTATCATCCCTAATCGTATCACCGACATTCTACTGTACTAATTTTACCCATTAGGGGGGGTTGTATAACAAGGTACGATGGGTGAACATTGTGCATCATGCTGTTAAAGGGGCTTCAAAAACCCTCGAGCTTCATGAAAATATGTCTTAACCAGTGGTCTCATTCTTACTGTTATTGAGCACATAAGTTGACACAGTTGTAGATGTGGGCTGTAGTAAACTAAAACAATGGACAAGGATGAAGGCCCAGTATGGCCGGAACGAAAAAATGTTGTAGCGGACAGTGAACGAAAATAGGACGATGAAATTAGCGCTTGTTTCCTTCACTACACACAAAAACAAAAAAAAAAAAAGCCAACAAAAAAGGATGCCAAGGAAGGCATAGGGGACATTATTTGTTGTCTTTAACAGCAGAATAGTATTTATAATATAAATGTGAATAAATTGAAGTGGGCAAAGAAATACCAGGCCTGTGTGTAACGTGCAGCACAGTCACAGCGAAAGCTGGAACAGCGGCCTATATAGACCGTTTTTTAAACACTCGTTGGATAACTGCTACAAGCACACTTGCAAGATACACACCATGGCATAATTTATCATAATTTTTGTGTAGCATGGAGGCATTCACGATGCCATTCTTCATCATTCTTCGGAGAAGCGTTGTACCCACCACATACTTGGAGGGATTTATGCACATTTTGCTGAATATGTTGCTGACAAAAAACACTTTATTACACATATTAATGAGGCTTGTGTGAATAGAGAATTTTAGGTTTGAAGCGAATCCAAAGCATATAGTGATTTTGGTCGATTATTTACGAAAAAAATTCAGATAGCACATATATTGCATATTATTATAAAGAAAAACAGCATATTTGTCGTAATTGAACTCAACTGCACAATATTTTTTTAAAGTGAAACAAGGCCTGTGCAAATGTGATTCTTTTTGCTTCAAAGGAAGTGGAAACGTCTTTGAATAGTAGCAGAATATGACTTTCAATAAAATGTAAGTGATAATGTATAACGTGCATTACATTTTTAAATATATTATACCAGGAGCATATAAGTTGGTAAGGGACGCTTTTAAACTTGGAAAATGGCTAATAGATGTGAGGGTAATATGTAGGCTTGTGTGAACATTAGAATGCTTCAAACATTCGAATGAATAATACAGCATTCGTATTCGCTTAGTATCAAATTTATTCATTGAAAATTTCAAATTATTCAAAACGAACGAATAGGTGCATATTATTCCACATTTATTGCTTTGTAAGGATTGCTTTGCTGCAGTAAAGGGGTGCTAAATTGTGAAAACACCTAGCCAAACGTATAAGTTCGCTTGTAAATGTGGTTTCACTGCAGTGAAGTGGTGCTAATCAGTCAAAACACATACTCAAGAGAAACTGGCACTGCAGCAAAGCTTCACATCAAGGTTTTTTTTGTATATTTTATTTTCCCTTGAATATCTTGTTACACCAATTTGTATGCTTCAAGTATAGCAAATTTTAAAACATAGCATATATTACTGGCTATCACTAGGACTGTACCGAAAGTCAAATCATGCTGACTATTCAAAATTGTTGCCACTTCCTTTGATAAAAAAAAAATGGTCCTTTGCACAGGCCTTCTCTCAATAAAAAAAAATATATCGCACAGGTTAGTTTGCTCATGACAAATGTGCCCCTTTTTCTTTATAATAGACAATATATATACTATTCAAATGTAATTCAAAATTGTTTGACCAAAATCACTATTCGCTTTGAATTTGCTCCGAACCTCAAATTCACTATTTGCACAAGCCTCGTAATACGTTCATTTAGCCTTGAAAAGGGGCTTCGCGGCAATGCAAATTTTTCCTGGCTAGGTGTTTTCAGTGTACGACACTCAACCACTGCAGTAAATCACTTTTACAAAAAATACATGTCGATCAATATACAGCTGGCTAGGTGCTTGCACAGCTCAGTACCTTTCCACTGCAGATGTACCACCTTTACAAAGGTTACATTCAGACTAATATACATTTATTTGTTTGTTTCGAATACTTAAAAACTTTCAGAAATTTAAATTTGATTTAAAGTGAATTTGAATATTGTGAATCATTTGAATATTCCAAGCATTCAAATATTTGCACTAGTCTAATATCAACGCGATTCCTTGCCCACATAAAGCCTGCCTAGGGTTATTTTGCAACGAAGTTTCCAGCATGGGCGTAGCCTAATGGGGATACTACTGGGCTGGCACGCAGGAGTGGGCTTCGGTTTTAGATTGGGATACGAACCTGAGTCCCCTGCGCGCCAGCAGCGTCACCTATCAGTTATGGTGGCGGCAGACAACTGTGGCACTGAAAACAACCCAAAAACTATGTAAATAGAGAAGATAAGTGCTTTATTCTGTATTCATTTTTTACTTATGTATTTCGTTGCATTTTGCCTATGTACAAGTGGCAGGAGCTCTGTCAAGCTGCGACGAAGCCGCTTTTTCTCTTGCCACCTTTTCTAGTTTTATCGTGTAAACAAAGGACGAAAATAAAACATGATTGATTGATTGATTGTGATCTCAAAACAGCTTTTACTGTAAAATACAACCTGCCACCAGCAGCAGCAAGGCAATCTAAAACTTTTGTATTACAACTAGATAACCTCTGGACAGTGGGACGATCGCCACTGTAGCTCTACTAAACGAGCTACAGAGGCGGTCGTCCTCTTTGTCCAAGCTATTTAGTATTTTCTATAGACATAAACCTGGAAGTGGTTGCCGTCAACTGCTCATAGCTATGACATGGAGTGTTGAACACTCGTGTTCTCATTAGCTGGCGTCGCATAGTACACAAAGGTTTTACAAGCTGGCAGCTGACCAATAAACCCTCGCATACTACCTGAAGGCATCAAGCCTGCTAAAAGACCCACACTATAAATGAATGAAGGTAAGGGAATCAATCAACGGCTCATTTGTTTTGTCACGTGCAGCCCGATGAAACCAACAGATAATGAAGCCAAGGAAGGTATAAGGGACATTTTTATGGTCTTTAACTGTATTATAATTATGATGCAGATGTAGAGGAATTAGTGCGGACTATTGTGGCCCGAAAGAGATCTCTGTGTGCTAAAAATATCTAAGCAAAGCTCACCTTAGTCGAAACTGCTCAATGTCGTAGACTAAGCAGAAGCCTCCCGGCTTGCCGCAGTGGGCCTTTCGAAGGATGCACGATGAGTCTATCACATTGCCAAACATTATTGGTGCTGGGATGTAACCTGCGAGGGAGACACAACGAATATCAACATCTACAATCAGAAATGATTCATTTCGTTGAATTGCAGCATTGCAAATTTCTGTTGATATGCTCTTCTTCCAAATGTGCTATCATGTAGTTTGCACCGACAAAGAAGGCCTTTTGAAACTGAGACGAGGAATGCATGCTTGAGCCATATGTTCACCAGCTCCAAAAACAAGGAGCCCCGTAACTGGAATTCTAGTGTGCCTCTCTCATGCTTCAATTCGAAGATGGAAGTGCCCCCCGACCAATTCAAGTTTGTGCGTGCTGTTCTAAATGAGAAAGTATGATATCAAAGCTTCAAAAGGTACCTCACACTGTGCTTGTAATATTTATTTCAGTTTGTTTCAAGATTGCCAGTTGCTATCATTTTGCTAGTGATAACGCGAACTGCTTGTAGTGAGCACCGTTTCCATGATGCTACATCTGTCGCAGCTGAAATTAGTTCCAGCATGCCATCCACTCATTATTTTAAAGGGAATGTTAATTAAATAACAGGCTAAGCTTCAAATTAAACAACAAAAAAATATTAGGGTCAAGTGCATAAATGTTTAAGGGATCGAGAGTAACTAGGCGATTGATGCCTGCCACGGTGGTTTAGTGGTTATGGCACTCGACTGCTAACTCATATCCCGGCCGCATTTTCGATGGAGGCAAAAATTTTGAGGCCCGCGTACTTAAAGGAGCGTTGCATCCCTTTTTGAGGATGGTCAGAAACTGCTGCCGATCCGTAGTAGAGGCTCCCGACAACACGTGAGCGAAATATTGTATCGCAGCATGTGGCACGCAATTCACAATAAATTATCAAAGGCAGCTGAGAATTGCTTTTTTTTCTCTCGACAAATGATGGAGAAAGCTAAAAAATCACTCGTAGAAGGCCATCTATCAGCCATTGGCTGATTTGAACATCGCGTGCTTGGTCATTACAGAAAACCCAGCGGAAGGCCACGACTTGTGCACGCAATCGCACTGAAAAGCTGCGTAATCAAAGAAAAAAAGAGCTGAAGGTCACGAGGCGTGCGTGACGTATTTGCTTTCCCCTTACTACATTTGCCAACCAATTTTTCGGACCTGGCGGAGACCGAATAGAGCCCGAAAAATTGAACAGTCTGAAAAACTTGTTTTTGCAAAAATATGAACTTTATTGCATCAGGCGGGCTTAAAAGAGTCCATGATTCTGCTTTGCTACATACTACGCTTGGAAGCAATTTGGTTTGCCCATATTTGCGCCAAGGTGACATCGTCACTGTAAATGTTCTACAAAAGCGTCACAGCGGTGGCGATCTCCGCTGCCGACAGCTGCGGGGGATAATCGTCATCATCATCCGAACTGCTCTCCAGCTGTGGCACAACCTGGCGAAGTCTTTAAATAGGGAGTTTTAGAATAACGTTTGCAGGCGGTGCGGGTATAGCGGACGCATTATGAGTTCTACATTAGCGTTTGCTCCCCCTAGGCAAAGGCCTAGGAACATTCACCTCGACGGCAAACTCAAATGCACGGAAGCTACACACAACAATTTGCGGGCCTTGCGGGCCGCGATCGCCGACTCGCGTTACGACGCATGGGAAGTAGCAGCGACTGCACCGCAAGGGCTCACGGTGCACTATTCTGAAACTCCCTAATGTCATTGTGGCAGGCACATTCACTCCACTACTGCGCAGCTCCGCCTCCTTCCTGTACGGTGCGATGACAACAGCGCTGACCACTACGGCTGACTGAAGACAAAAAAATGGTCCCGTGCTGCGTTTTCTAAAGCAGACACGAGCTCTGAAACTTGAAATACGCCGTTTTCTTTCTAATCTTTGAGGCAGCAAAGCCATTTTAAAATTAAGCCACTAAGCTTAGTCAAGCTGGCAGCAAATCCAACATGGCTGCATCTATACAGGTTTGTGGCGCGGCTCAAAACAAGCTATTTAGTCCGAAAAGTCGAATTTTAGGGGGCGAATTCATCCGAAAAATCGGTCAAAAAAATGCATTAGCCCTATGAGAGCTCTGACGGTGCACTTCTGAAGTCTGAAAAATCAAACAAGTCTGAATTTTTCGAGTTCGAAAAATCGGTCGGCGACTGTACTTAGCTTCCAGTGCTTTCGTTGGGATGAGAGAAGAGAGAATGCAATTGCAGCGTGTCACAAAACTCTGCTCATACTGAACAGATTCCAAAATATATTGTGGCAGTGAATTTGAGAGGCAACAAGCTTCTTTAGTACATTCATTATATGGGCCATGGCTACTCAAAAGTGTAGCAGGACCTCTTTAAAATTTAGATGCACGTTCAAAAACCTCAGGTGGTCAAAATTTTCAAAGCCTTCCACTATGGCGTGTCTCATAATCATATGATGGTTTTGGGACATTAAACTCTAGGTATTATTACAGGAAGTAATAAATAACTCTTTCATGGTAAACAACGCGAAGCCTAACGCAAATACTATTGTGATACATATACAGCATGAATTTGAACTCCTCATCAGAAAAAAAAAAAAAAAAAAAAAACACTCCGCCAAGTTTATAAATGCCATTCTTCAATGAGGTAAAGACAGCTGCTACGTTTATTAAGACACAGAAGTTAATTTCACGGAGCACTACGAGACCGTTCAGCTTAAATATAGATAATGTGCATGTATATACACCGTGGCATCATCAGAGACAGCAGAACATTGTTTCTTTACCTAAGTATCCAGCGAGTGTTAAAAGTTTTGTCGAACACTTACCAAATAGCCTAAATATTACAAATTGCATTCCCAATGCAAAGGACCGCTCTTCTTCTCCGACAGACCTGTAAGTATGGAGAGGAAGCTGTGTAAGTAAGGCGCCACGTTTTACACCGGGCGCCTGCACCACACTTCTTCTGCTCATGTGCACGATGCGAAACATGGGGTTTTCTAACATATGCTGCATTCTTATGTAATGGACACTACATAGATAAAACTTCCTTCCTAACGTTTGAGAGTAGAGGTGTTTGAATGGTGACCTTTCACCTTAAGTCCAATTCGCATCAAATGGTGCCACAGAGCGGCCCAACATTTCTTATACAAAAGATTTTATCGAAAATTGTAAGAATGAATGAAATATGCTCATGCCCTTGAGGCCATAGCATGGTTAGTAGCTCCTACAAAAAGACTCTAAATTGTCACGTAGGAAGACAAGCTACGCCGTTCCTTCCTAACGTTTGAGAGTAGAGGTGTTTGAATGGTGACCTTTCACCTTAAGTCCAATTCGCATCAAATGGTGCCACAGAGCGGCCCAACATTTCTTATACAAAAGATTTTAACGAAAATTGTAAGAATGAATGAAATATGCTCATGCCCTTGAGGCCATAGCATGGTTAGTAGCTCCTACAAAAAGACTCTAAATTGTCACGTAGGAAGACAAGCTGCGCCGCAGGCTCTCTCGCCGTGACATTACAGCGTTTCCTGCAGTTAAAAGCGTGCGCTCAATGGGCACGACACGTCAGTGGCAGGGATGAGAGAGAATTGAAAAAATTGCCCGCAGCTTCCCTCGGGGGAACACTGAGGAGGATGCGGACCATATAATTGGTTAACGGGGTGTTAAAGTGCGACTTACTTGGGTGGATGGCTAAATTGGTTAACGTGGTTGTGAAATGGGGTGTTAAATTGCGACTTACTTGGGTCGATGGCTAAATTGGTTAACGTGGTTGTAGGAGGGGGTGTTAAATGAGTGAACACGTACACACGTATGCGAAAGGGCGGCGCTGGTCGAAGGGATGTCGATCATTGTGTTTGTGGATTCGTCGGAATTCATTTCACCGCGACCTTGGACGTCGACGCGCCGTACAAACCAACCGACGAGCGGCAACTGAGCGAGCGAGCGCCGACCTTGAGTATATACACAGCACGACGGCGCATGCACTGTCAGCTGTTGAATGTTCTCGAAGCGCGACGCCACATGCGCGTCCACTGGAGAATCAGGAGAATTGTAGATGTCGAACGCGGTGTGTAGAGGAGGAAGGGTGCACAGATGGTGGAGGAGTGAAGCGCGCGCGGTGTGTAGAGGAGGAAGGGATGCACAGATGGTGGAAGAGTGGGCGACGGCGCGACGGCGCATGCGCGCGCGTCAGCTGTCGAATGTTCGAGAAGCGGTGCGGACGGCGCACTACAAGGCGCGAGTATAAGATGCTCCGCATCTAAAAACAATTTTGGCGATACCTAGATGAAGGGCAGCTTCAGGTTCTTTCCAATATTTCAAAAAATCTTCTTCCGTTGGGATTACTACTAGAACAGTTGTTGGGCTTCCTGGTTCATGCTGTAGAACTGTCAAGGGTGGAACCCACGTAGACTACAAAAGAAGGGGACCGAATAGAGTGCCTTAGGTTGAACAGTCTTCAAGACTAACAACAGGACATAACGGTGCCCCATCCAAGAGGCACCGTTATGTCCTGTTGTCCTTCTTCTGTATTTTTTTTTCCGTCTAAGTGGGTTGCGCTTTTAGCTATTTTTCTGGTGATCAGGGGCTCGTTGAAGTACTTTTGAACTTCTTTACTGTAAGATCCGAGGTCAGCGGGCTGGTTATTTTTTTAGGCTGGCAGTTCAATAGTTCTCGAGCCTGTTCTCTGGTATTCATTGTTCGAGCCATGAAGTGTAGAAATGACGTGGTCACCTTTAAGATGAACATTCGCTCACTTATGGACCAGGACAATGTCAGCGATAGTCGCTTCACCCTAGCCAAGTTGCGCCGTTGGCCTTTGTCGTGTTTTAAATATTCATTCGTCCGAATTACTCAAAACTTTGAATACTAGCAATTTTCAAATCGATTTAAACAATTATATTTGCACATCCCTATGAAACAGTGAATAACACTGTTGCACAAAGACTTGACAAAATACCATTAATCTAACGATTAGCTCATAATTATTAGAAGTTAAAAAATACACATTTCATGCACATTCAAACAGACATCGTGCACATGCTCGCAGTAAATACAGAAAAATTTTTCAGCAGTTAGCCAAGCTTACCGCAATATGATCATTAGCAGCGGCATCTGAGTGATGGAGACCACTAAGGTCATGGCAAACAGTAGCACCATAAACGGGATGAATGCCAAACACGGCTGCGGGCACGGCCCGCTGGTTGCTAGTGGCACCGCCGTCACTTCGGGGTTCATGGTCACATTAGGCACGATGCAGGCACACGACGTGTAGTTCAGCTGCAAGAAAGATGACGCATTCAAGGAGACATAAAAATGAAAACAGTGTGGTAATACAATATTACTTTACTGCGTTCAGGAGAAAATAAAAGTGGCGACAATATTTTGAAGAAAAACTTTTTTTGTGCCTTTCTTAGTTAAGAAAATGCTAAAAAGACACAGGAAGTTAGGTAGTTTATTACACTTCAGGTTATTCAGGTTATTGCATATAACAAGGTTGAAAATAGAAATTATACAAGCTTACAGGATACTGCAAAAGAAAATTTCCAGTTAATATAGAGTGGAATATGTAAGTAAATACAGGTATATTGAATACAAAAACCACTGTATTATGCGAGTCACTAGTTAACAAAAACAAGTAGTTTATAGCAACACAAAGCTTATAACCAAAATGGTAATGGCGAAATAAAATCACATGCAAAATACATAGGTTTCAATTCGAACATGTAAAATTGAGACAGCTGACATGGTAAAGGGTTTCAAAGTATTGTGGCTGAAAAACTGGCAATAAACTTGCCATAATTAGTTCTGATTTTCTGTAATAAACAGCTGCTGTAGAAGTGTATTTTGTGGAATCTGAGTGAGGAAACTGGTCGTTATCAATGGCTGAAGTTACTAAACCATTACCGTAAGAGCAATCCACAATGTTTCAGTATATGAGCAATGGATGTTTGTATGTTGTGTACACAACAAACAAACATCTGTTCACAACGAACATCTGTTGCACAGTTACTGAAACATAGTGGAGTGCTCTTACGGTAAAGGTTTAGCGAATTCAGTCACTGATAATGACGAGTTTCCTCGCTCTGAATCCGCAAAATTCACTTCTTTCAGCAGCTGTTTATTAAAAATTAAAACTAATTATGGAAAATTTATCATCAGTTTTATGGCAGGTAAGCATCTAGAAGCACCATTCGTTAAGTTTAATGTTTAGGCTACAGCAACGATCACTTGCCATCCTGAACAAAGCAACTTCAATTGATTAGCTAAATGGGCCTCGCAGCACTTTCCAAAGTACAGCTGACTCTCAGTGAAAGGAAATCTCTTAAATGAAACTGCTGCTTAAATGGAACAAGTGCATCTGACAACATTGGTTTTATACTTGTATTCTGCACCCTTGTTCACGTCTCAGTAAATAGAACTGTTAAATGAAACGTATGTTACTAGTCTTTTCAGGTTACACGTTATTAAAATCTACTGTAATAATGAAATTACTCCACTACAAGTTTATTGCTTTACGAATCAACTACTGCCAAAATTTTCAGATTATTTCGACAGGGAAAATACAGGAGGATGAAAGGGAGCACTTTCTCTGCTCTTCTTCCATGAAAACTTACGTGGCCAATATATAAGCACTGTGTGCGGCTCACTTGCCTGCGCCGTGACGTGGCACAGTAACTATGAAGCTCATGACGTTCAAATCGGCCAGTGGTCGTGTTTTTCAGTACGTGACGCACTTGATTTGGGTATACAGCATCATTCGTAGAGAAAAAAGCGAGCGATTTCTAGCCGATTTTAAACTTCATTTCTAATTCCCTGCCCCATGTTGCGCTATAAATGTTTGGCTCACATGTCCACAGGAGCCTCAAGTACTGACCAGCACCATTTTACGGCCATGTCACAGAGTAAGACAGAACAGGAGCGCCAACTCCGCCGCCACTCCATGCATTCGCGTCGGACAGATCGTGCAATGCACATGCAGTGGTCTAACACATTCCTCTGCTCTCCTCCTCCGCTCCTCTTCCTGCTTTTGCACATGCTTCCTCCTTTCTCGGCATATATCACAATGCATAGCGCCACCTGTACAGCTGCGCTAATGAACGCATGCGGGAACTGGTGGAAACCAGAAGCGGCGGCAGCAGAGAGCGGCGAGCACGGAGTGTGTCGTCTGCTAGAAAACAGTTAGTTCGGCTGCCTCAGTACAACAAAACGAAATGTATATATGCATACTCATAATGAAATACGAAACTAAAACGTCGCACCACTTTCTTTGCACATATTGGAAACACTGCTACATATCTTTAGACAAAGTAGACAATAAATTCTTCAGAAAAATAATGGCAGAGTAGACGTACCCTTGTTTTCCATGCTTGGACGCCTGAGTGAAAGTGTTCGCCAGACATTTTCGTGTTACACCCTTTGTTTAAAATGTCTGGAATGTGCTTATTCATGCTTGAAGAGACAAGATATCTTTGTATTTGTGTGTGAAGACGCGGTGCAAGTGGACAGAGAGCAATGAAGTGTTTTGTTCCTGGCTGCAAGTCTGGTTATGGCAAAGAGTGGGAGAAGATTCCACTCCTCGCGGCCCCATCTGATCCTCTGCTACTGAATCAGTGGCGTCAAAAAGTACCCATGAATAAGCGACCCCTGAAATCAAAGGAGAAAATATGAGCCCAACATTTCGAAAAGCACCTCATATTTGATAGGTACTTCAGCGAACACAAATGATATGTTCTACAGGACGTAAAGAAAGTGCCTCGACTTCGTAAGGGAGCAATTCCTTCCACCTTTGGGGAATGCGTGGCTCAACTCAATAATGCTGAATATACGGAGGAACCGACAGACACCGGTGCCGAAGAGCCAGAGGACATCAATTTCTCTTCAAGCTCGTACAGAGTGAGCACGCACGTCAGACGCCGGTGGAGGCGGGTGCCTTTGTTTGCCCAGATAATGAAAATTCTCAGCGTTGCCTACGAAAGGACTCCTTCAGTCGGTCACCTGGCAAGGATCTAAGAAAGACAATAGCTTGAGTGTGCCTTCTAACGAACAATGTGCAGCAGAATGCGGCGCAAGCAGCTCTACTGCCATAAGCGACAACAAAGACTCTCTGTGCCCTGATCAAAGCTCACTATTTGCAATGTTACCTCATGTATTAGGTTAAGTATATGTTATGTTTATGTACGTTGTAGTGGCATTGTATAATTCTGTGTGGTCCACGTTAAAGATATCAGGCATTTGGCCTGTTTCGAATAAAAGACGTAAAACAATACATCGGGTTATTTCTTCTCGTGATGTCGTTCCGCAAACTGCAATAGGCAAGCTCTTTAGAGGAAAAAATTGGTAGCAGACTTAAGGCATGCGCGGAGCAGATGACAAAATGGATAGGCGAGCTGACCAAGGAACGTGGCTAAGCGCGCGTCCGTGCTGTTGCTATATCAACGACGGTCGGAGCCCCCAACCTGCGGCTCTGCTCGAGGGCAGTGCTTCTCCTCCGTCATTTTCTTCCATTCATAGTGCCACCATGCAGCTAAACTGCGAAGCATGAAGCCGCGTTGCAAGATGTGGCCCTTCTAGGCGAGCGAAGTTGGTGCTTCTCTCTTATCTTACTCCGTGGAACATGTTCCAAAGGTGTTGCAGGGCTCCTTCAATGTTTTTTTGACAAAATGTACGAGTTTGGCGAAGTGCAATTGTGGAGCACTCACGTGCGATCCGTGGCCCGCGCCAGGCCGACAGCCTGCGTGGCACGGCGAGAAGTATGTGATGCCGTTACGGCCACACACGGGCTCGATGTCGTTGGGCGAGCAGCGGCAGCCCATGTTGCAGTCGGCCGTTAAATTCACCTGGAACGTCTCCAGCTCGCTGCTACTGCAAGTGTCACAAAAAGTGAAAGAGAGAAAGGGTAGGTATAAGTGAATAGGTACAACTCAACTCAGGAACTATGGGTTCCAATGTCTTGATTATATGCGAACTGCAAGTGTTACTAGAATGAAGGCATGCCTTGAACTACTGCCATTATCATCCCACCATAAAATTTACTGCACACGCCTTTGTTCCCGCACATCTTATAATCATTCATTACCTAATGATTTTATCTGTCTTCCACACAGATTTATCAGATAATTATTTCTAGTTGATAAAAAATTGTTTCTAGCATGGGATCTTAGATTTTTTTAGAAATCCATATGGGCTTTTTTTTTTTTTGCAGCTGTGTGCTTAACAAATGGGTGAATCAGCTTTTCACATTTATCTTTACAAATAAAGTTCACCTTTTAACTAAAGCTGCTCAATGCAGCACTAAAGTACGGGGTGGTGGGGGGGGGGGGAACTATAGACTAAGAGTTGTAACACTGCTTCATGGCTGCATCACACCTGACACAATGGAGAAGAAGAGGCGGGTCAGACAGCTCCACACACTAGCAACGATACTCCACGTAAAGGGACTTACTTGTTAAAGTAAGGAAGTGTGGCCCCAGCCATTCGAATGTTATCACAGCCTAAGAAGTACAACAACGTGTAGAGACCCATGCACAGCAGGTTGAAGCAGAGCACAAATTGAATGGCCCCTGGAGAAAAAAAAAAGAAAAAGGCAGGTCGGTGCAGTCAATACTGTTCACAGTTTTTCACATGTATTCTGCTTATTATTTATTATTATTTTACTAATTATAATCAAGTGTACTACAATTATAAAGAAGCAATAATAGAATTGAGAAACACACATCATGTGTTTAATTACACAAAAATGCAATGTGCAAACACTTCGTACCCATTTTCCACGCATTACGTGTCAGAACCTGAATTGCGTTATGTGGTTTCCTTTGGGGTCGCTAATACTGAAAAGTCGTAGTAAAGTTTTACCTTTTGGTCTCATCTGGAACTTTTTCAGGACGTAGCCTCCCAGGAATATTCCAACACAGGCACCAGGAATAGCAATGCCACCTGTTTCAAAGGCACAATAAAATATACCTGAGCATCAGTGCCATGCCGCATACTGTGGTCTCAGCAGACACTGCAACACACATAGTAATGTTTCGACATTTTTAGTTGGAAAAAGCACCATGTACTGAAGAGTGTTGAAAGAATGATCATAGTACACATAGGAATGACTTCTGGCATAACACGCCACTGAGAGTACTAAAGCAGCAAGGAAGAAAGATTTTAATGAAAACATTGTGAAATACATAATACAGTGAAATAACAGATTTGTAAGCATAATCACGAAACTGAAGAAATGCCACAACCCAGTTTATGATTGTGTATTGGTATAGCAAAAGGGGCGGCATGGCTGCCCTCAGCTGTGACAAGTGTAAGCTTGCAAATTTGACACTGTAACATTAAAGGGATGCTAAAGATAAGCAATGACCTGGTTTAGATTGACATAATGCACTTGGAGAACTCTCATGCTATATGTTTCACTACTATAAGTTAATTATTAGTGAAGCAAATCAAGGCAAAAGCTTCATTTTTAAATTTTGCATTGAAACCTCCGTGCATGACGTCGAAAGTTTCTAAATGTATTTTCCTATTTTAGCGACACTGGCTCAATGAAATTTTCGGGCACCTTTATGGTGAGTCTATGGCACCTGCAGATGACTGATGACAATGAACTTCATTTTTATCGATTAAAAGCTACGTAGGATCGAGTAGAAGCGTTCAAAATTTTTTACGTTGCTGTGTTTGGTGCAGGAATCACAAGGTGGCGTCACCACCCGCATTTCCTTTTCGCACGTTTTCTCACTTACCAAGCATCATCTCGCAGTAAGGATGGTGTTTTCGGGATTGTGAAATTGTACTCTACTAATACACAAAAAATCATTTTGCTCTTTAGTGTCCCTTTAATATTATTTGCAAGCAGTGCATGAGAGCCTTTTAGAGCTTGGTTGAGATGAGAGCTGCAATCCCCGAAGACACTGTCAATATAATGTGAAAGTGGAATGCTGCAAACTGAAAACGTACGTACAGGTCGCTTTTCAGCTGGTTGACTGTCTCCTAAATACTAGCTTAGGAAAGGGCTTCCCTTAATAGTGCATACTCAAGCACTGCAACTACAGTTAAAAATATGTCAGATCAAATTCACGTTTACACCATAAACGAGTAACGCAAGTAGTTTACATGGCTTCTTACATTGAGACAGTGGCCAAAGGTGATGGGGAAGCCAACAGGGTGCAAACAAACCTCGTTGTAATGGAGTCCATATGACATTAAACTATGACATTAAACTCTTTTTTATATCCTTAAGTTCATTATAAATGTGTACCTAGTACACTTTTTCATGGCCAAGACTATTTAATGAACTTCGCTATAACCAACGATTCGTTATGCCTGCACGGAGGCTATTCTGCACGTACAGTGCCTCACTCTTGACCCTGCTCCTGCCTGGGACCTTGTGTGGATTTACTGATTTGCAATAGCTTTTGCAGAGTCCCATGCCTGCTACGTGGGCAGCTTCTTAAGTGAGCTTAGTTTACCACTCGCCAACAGAGAATCGAGGGCTGTCACCTGTGAACACGTTGGCTTGTGACTTGCCGATGTTGAACTGCGTCTCCAGGTATTTGGGCAGGAAGACTACGAAGCCACTGACGATGGCCAATTCCATGCAGGAGCCAAGACAAGTCACCATGTAGATCGGGTTGCAGAGAAGGCGCCACATGGACGCTGGGATGTCTGCAGGAAGAAATGTATTTCATTACCAACCTTCGTACTTCTGGCCATTACATCCTCTGGTGCAGTCAAAGCATGCATAACTTGTGCCTCGCACCAAATGAATTCCAAAAATTTAAATTCAGTTATCAAAAAACAACATCAACGACAATAAAAAAACAATAAAACAAGAGTGTTCAAGCCAATCTTTTAGATGAAAGTTTGGCTTGGACCTTTTACTTTTTACTTCAAATGCCAACCATAAAAAAGCGTGTTCTACTGCACCACTTCATAATATTGGTGATAATATAGGTATATTTTGATGTTCCAATAAAAGCTTCACAGATATTGAAGAGAAAGCTTGAAAGGTATCGGCGCATTTTGTTTTGCATACAACAACAGTTTTTAAATTCTTGCATTCAAAAAAAGTGTAACGAAAGGACGACCAACAATGCTATAGTGTCAACACAAGCACACTTCGGTGAGCTGGTTTAGCATTGCAGGTACGTGAATGAAAAACATGAGCCAAAGGGAGCGGAAGTAAAAACTTTCATTTGGGGTTGGCTTCAGAGCCATTCCATACGACATATATGCCTAAGCATGTGACGCCTAAACACATGTACAGAATTCAAATGGCATAAAAAAAATACCATTCCTTTTTTTTCAATGCCGCGAAAAGTACAATGATGCATGTCACTCATAAACGACATGTGTCAGGGCGAATTCCATAAAAGAGACAGGAAATGAGCACTATTTCTACAGAGAAAGTTGTTGTGAGGCCACAACAACAGCCAGTTTGGAGGCATGGTTGTCTGCGGTGTCGCCAGCGTATGTAGCAGCTATTCCGTACTACGAGAAAGAGAGAGACATAGACGCCAGGCCTCCGCAGAACGCACAACAGTGTCGCAGCGAAAGCTGGATGAGCGGTCTTACAAAAACAGTTTTTAGAGGCTCTTGGTGCAACTACATCGAGCGCACCTGCAGGGCACCCACAACGCCATAAATCATGGCGACCAAGGAATCACTTTAACAAACTTCATATAAAGTGGCACGAGAGAAAAATGACACCAGAAGTGGCATAAATTGCATTGTGTAATTGGGTAATTTAAAGCTTCCCTTTCATAACAAAGGGTTCAGCCATAATTCTTTGTCATAACTAACCATAGCTTCAACATAGTGCAGATAGTGCTTTAAATATTTAAATAAGCGTTTAAATATTCCTTTTTCCCTCGCCCTGTCACCGCTTGGAACGCGCTACCAGGTGAAGCTGTTAATATTACAAATATTGATGAATTTTGTTCTCTTGTGGAGCAGTTAACAGAGTCAGTATAGTTACATTTTGCTGTTCTTGTTGTTGCGATAACGAAAAACGTGTTTTGCAGTGGTGCATTGTAATCTTTGTACATATATATAGTTTTTCATGCGTAGCACGTGGTTTTTATTATTATTTTTTCTTGTTTTTCTCGTCTTCTCGTGTATGGGAAGAGCACCAATGTAGTATTGTTGTACCCGCTATTGTAAGTGTTTTGCTGTTTTGCGTATTGTACCTCAAAATATTGTATTTCCTGAACTTTGTATCTACTTGGTTACCTGTGATGATGTATGCCCGCTTCCTGTATGGGTCTGAAGAAGGCCTACAGTATTGTTAAATAAATAATAAATAAAATAGATGTGTAGCAAGTACCTCACCTCTGCACGGTATGAAGAATAATGGCATGTGGGGCACTTCCCTACTTGACAGATTATGAAGACTTATGTTTCAGCGGTACCTTGCAAGAATATTTGTAGCAGCTGCCCCAAGAGAGTTTACAATAATAGGCTCTAGAAAGGTCACTGTTGAAGCTTCCTTGTTCCCCGCAGGCCTAGCGTTTTCTGAATTCCACCCCCATGCAATAGACATGTTTGGATATCAGATACTTAAGCGTACACATCAGACGATGAAATTCGACAATAAACCCCAACCGAAAGTTATCGCAACGCGTGTCTCGTCCTGCTCCCTCCTGTCTACATCTGTCCCGACTTTTAACACTTGCGCCAGAACGACCTGCTGTAAATATGCACTGTACCTTTAATGTCGCGGCCGTATTTCTGCTTTTGCGGAATCTCGGAAGATGACGCGCTGTGCGGGTCTGTGGCTCCGGTGGGTTTCCAGACCTCCACTTTCTGGTTCACACCAGTGACCATCTTAGTTCCTCCAGTCATGTACTCTTCGTCACGCTTCAGGCGTGCTTTCTCTCTCTGCAGGGCTTTGGGGAATGCGAAGAAAGGCACTGCAACCTGCAGCACATTTAATAAAACGGTTTCATCAGTCTTGGTACTGTGTGCTAAATAAACCAGCACAAGTACTAATCATACTAACAACTGGTGGGCTTTTACACCTCAAAACCACGATATGAATGTGAGGAACGGCATAGCTGAGGGCTCCAGAAAGGTGGACCACCTGGTGTTTCTTTAATGTGCAGCTAAATTCAAATACATTTAGCATTTTGCCTTCATCAAAAAGTTGAGTGCCATGACCACTGGATCACAGCGATGAGTAGTGCAAGAATTGAGATGGAACTAACACTAGCAGTAAAGAAAGCAATGGTCTCTCGAGCAACGAATTCCACCCATGTTCAGCAAATAATATTGAGTAAAAAATTCTTTTTCCTTCATGAGGTAAGATAAAGAATAGTATGAGTCAGCCACCAAAGGCTTTTACTTTTCTTAAAACAGCTGTAACGCAAAGGCTTTCTATCGCGATCAGAGGCAATCCGTATCGTGCTGCTACACAATCACTTTTGGTCGCAATCGGAATCCACCAGGATCGAGATGATTGTGACCAAGCTCCAGAATTTCAACTTGGCTGACATTTGCATCAAACTCAATCCGGAAAAGTGTGGACCATGTAGCAGCGACCATTGCTGATTGCAATCAAGAAATGTAATCCTTGCAGTAGTGTTGTTAGCTGGGCTAACTGGGATGAATCCGTCGTGAATAACCGCTAAAAACGACATGAAGCCCGCAGAAAGTAGTGAAGAGAACTAGAAATTAAAACAAGCAACAGAGCCCAGTGTACAAGAAATTAATGGTGTAAGTGTCCTTAGCTCCTCCAGTACCAATCCTAGTCTAATGCAATCTTGTTAGATGCTGAACACGACCAGAAAGTGACCAATCACACCAGTATTACAAGCGCATTTAAAATTTTCTATTCTGCAATGTGAAGAGTATCCCTCCATAAAAAATTTTTGAATGTAAAAAAACTAGTTTTACTAAGGGAATAGCCACGTTTCTTCCTCCCTGCATGTACTACAGTCAACACCAAAAATTATGTCAAAAGCCACAATCGGCTCACCAGCATGAGAAAGATGCCGCACAGGACAAATCCAGCCCACCAGGCGCCGATCCACCGGGGTGCACCAGGAAAGATCCCTCGTGGTACGGTGCCGCCAAGGAAGGAATTCTCGTGCTGGGACAGTAGGAATCCACCCAGCAAATAGCCCACCACCAGGCCAAAGGCCACTGTGCTGTACATGCAGCCTGCAAGGCACACACAAAAAAAAATCAGGGACAAGGCGCTTGCTTAATCAAGATGGCGGTGAAGCTAGCAAGAAAGGAAGTTGTGCTATGCCAACAAACAATGTCAACAGCTGCAGGAGGTAGATCTTATTCCCGACCATAATAACCTGTAGTGAACCTGTCCACTAGGTGCAAAAGTTGACAAAAAAAAGTACTCAGAAGGAGGGTAACACTTACTTGCACGTAGCTTCTTTGACAGGATGTGCTTCGCTTAATGTTCAGTGTAAATGATTTAATTATGTACCCAAAGAACTAGCACAAATAGGAGAAACGGTTTCAGGGACTCTTGCATGACAGTCAGCCCTTATGAACTTAGTGCACTTGAAAACCATCACAAAATGAGGGAAGAAGTGAAGGAGACACAAGAGTGAGCATATACCATTGTCAATCATTACGACGGCCCTTGTATTGAGACTTGATTCAGAGCCAATTTTCGAAGGTGCCAAGTGCTTTCCCAAAGTGGGCTGATAATGTGGACTGTGATGGTATGAATGCGTTAGTGAGCATTTTGCTGACCACTACTTAGGTGAGTTCATAAGTAGAATATGGAAAATCATTGCAGTTTTATGTCCTCAGGGACCTATGCATGCTCACTTGGTATCTATCGTCTTCATATGATGCTTCACAAAAAAAATATGAAAACCAGTGTTGCTGCTGCTCTACAGCTGTTGGGTAATGCGGTGCTACGGAAATGGTAACGCACTTAGTGATTAGTTTAGACTCTGTAGAGATATTAATGCCACCTTACGGAAGCTTCTTATTGAAGTTCTTCCAGTTAGAGGGCAACCTGACAGCTGGTAAAAAAATAGAGCAGCGACACCCATCAAATACAAAGGTGTCAGTTAACCTAAAAACCACTGATACTGCAGCTTATAAAAACTGCCAGGTAAAAAAATGCCAATAACTTGCTTCGGTATGAAAGTAATATACATTAACGAAGAAACACATAAAGTTCGGTTCGGCATTAAAACAAATTTTTCAGTAAACAAAGCTGGCCGCAGGTAAGGCATTTACAAGTTAACACCTTTTGCATACGCAATTTGCTACGTCATTTTATGTATCCATAATAGCAATGTTACAAGTGTATCGCAAGTGTATCGAAGTGTCTTAAAATACAATTGTAAAGTATCGTATCGCATGCATTTATTCTAGAAGCATCTTGCATCTGCATCTCCAATACTTCTTGTCCAAATATCTTGTATTGTATCGTGGCACAATTTCAAAAAATATTTGCCCAGCCCTGTACACGGCAGCGTGAGTACTTTTGCTCTCAAAATCTGGGCGAATCGTGTGACAGAGACTCAAGATTACACATTCTCCTGTCGTTCTGATGACATGCTGTTTGCGAAAGTACAGGATGCTAGATAAAAGAGTGGGGTAATACATAGTGAAAAAAAATGAGCACGTATGATTGAACACAAGTTGATGGTAGTGCGAGTGGGCAAAATGGCAGCCTACCGATATACATGGAAGAGCTTTCCTTCCGAACATGGTCGTCGATGTAGGTTGTTCCCAAGGTAAAAATGGGTGTCCCACCGCACCCGATGAGGATTTGGGCACACATAAATATGAAAATATACAAGGCATTCGAAGACCTGCCATCGATGCAGCTCTGTTCAGCGTCTGGTGACAGGGGTGGGTTGATGAAATGGCTGCTGCAAAAAGAAACAATGCATCCAACTTTTTGATTCCTGTTGCAACAACATAAAACGAGCAAACAAGAAAAAAATTCAAAGTGGGCGGACTAAAAAATAGTGAGAAAGGTAGTTTCCCAGAGCTGATATTTTAGAACACCGGGTTCTTTCACTGATGTAGTCATCAGTGTGCATTTCTGTCTATGTAAGGCATGAGCTAAGACAAGACGAAGATCTGTAAAGCTAAACTTCAGCTCTTTGCATTCAGCATGCTGCCTTCTATAGGCATGTCCTAAAATATAAGCTTAAAATTTTGTACCAGAACCACAATCATTTTATATTCACTCATGCACCGTCACAAAGGGTAATGTTTTTTCCCAGCCAAATGTAAATAATCATTGTATTCATTTGTTGATTTATGTTCAGTTCTTACCGTGAGACAAATGATCTTTCTTAGTGACGGTAGCCAGCTAATACCAATGAAAACTAATAAACAATAATGCGAAGGAAAGTGTAGGGGAAGTTATTAGACTGAATTGTAATGTACGTAAATGCAAAGAAAGAAAAGTGGACAAAAGGATAACTTGCCACCAGTAGGATCCGAACGTGCGGCCTTTGAATAACATGTTTGATGTTCTACCACTGAGATACAGTGGCGGTTATACCCCCTCTATTTTATAGGGTATATACGTACATTAAATGTGGTAGTGTCAGTCAGTGCCACCTGCTGCCATTGCAGCGAGTGTAGAACACTCTCTCTTGCCTGTTTGGCATCACATAGTACGTGATTTTATTACGAGATGGCAGCTGACCAATTATTCCTCGCATGCCACCTAAAGGCGTCAAGTCTCCCAGAACCAGCTAAATAATATTTAGTAACGCTACTAAAACACTTTCATGTGCCACTACAAAAATGGTTCTGCGTTGTCTACGAGGAAATTGTATGCCATGGAGAGGTTCCAGTGATGTAAATGTCATGGTGTTTTGACATACTGTAAAAACAGCTGCGATATTTGTACAATACCTATTCTATACCGTGTTTTTATGCCTTTCGCAAGACCTACAAGTGCTGCCTCACTGAAATATGAAAAAAAGCAGGGTATCTACTGCATGTTCTTACCTTGTGTGTTCGGGCACCATGGCAGCTGTGGGCATTTGGCATGTGTTTTCATCCTCAATGCGAGTGACATTGAGCCTATAAATACTTGGAGAGTTAGATTGGTCCATGAAGTACGGAAGAGAGAAGACAAAAGACCCTATTGCCATTACAATGGTTCCTGAAAGGCAAAGCCATTTCACGAATTAGTGTCTGGAAGCAGAGTGGGGAAGAAGTTCGTGCAATGTGGCAGATACATAATGAAAATGTAATTTTGTTTATATCTCTGCTTTATCTTAACCGACTCCTCAATTTTTACAATGAAGGCAGTGTTCATAATGGACGCATACCTCCAACTTGCTCCTCTGCAAAGTTTGAGCACCAGTGCACCAGTTGCTTTTAAGTTATCCCCATTTTGCATCTGCATATACTGTACATTATCTTGTATTTGCACTATAAATTGTATACCATCTATACTGTTGCGCCGCTTGTGAACAAACACATTGTGACGTACGACATGCCAAAGTGTGCAAGATGTTTACACTTTCTGAATGCTGGTTCATACGAGGTACGACAGAAGATGAAATATGTGAGATTACACAATTTTTCACATGATATTGCTCCTACTATCCCAATAACTTGGTCTAGATCCTTCTGTTCTACATAGTACAACAAGTGAAGCAAAGGTAATACAGCATCTGTCTTGATTAGCACAATGATGATTGCAGTTTTGAATGAAATAAATAAGGTAAGCGGTAACCAAATGCAGCAATGAAATAACAAAGTTTTGTAGACACAGCACAGTATATATCATCAGGAAGAGAATCTTGAACAGCACTGCCGACATTCTACAGAACCACATGCTCTATAATGCGTAATCATTATGTTTTTGAGCTACTGCACCTTGAAACTGGCAAGTTTCTTATGTGCACTTTTCAAAAGTTCATTAGTTCTCAGCAAACTGCACAGCACTACGTGTTACATGTGATAGATATTGCAGTTATAGTGAACATTTCACGGTGCTGCAGGCTTTCAGCATTGACATTAGAAACAGACAGAAAACATTCACTTATGTGCTATGGATGCCGCCAAAATAATGTTGTGATGTATTTCTTATAGCTAAATAGATAAGATCTCATAGTCCAATGTACATAATGGTTTTCTATTAGAGGCCACAGCACTAGAGGCAGTGAATGTTAGCTTACCTTTGCCAATCCAAACAGGAATGTGCCTATGGCTCCCAAGATAGCTCACAAAAATAATGGTCAGCAGATTTCCAATCTCAAATGAACTTGAAATGGCTCCTGACACTCGACTAGGGATATCAAATCTCTTCTCAATTGTTGTAATTACACTGTAAAAAAAAGAATGTACGATTAAAACAAGCTTAAATGATATCGGGCAAATGTGGCATCATGGTTAACAAGTTACAACTATAGACAAACTTACTCTATTTGCGAATAAAGTGCAAATAAAAAAGAGAACTGCTGCTACTAAAACAGAAGTTTTCTAGAGTTTTAAATGAAGAGACAGATGTTCAGGATAAAATTAAAGATGGTCCTAATGTGACCACAACAAAAAACATCAGCTCAATTAAAGAACAGCACATTTGCATCATTTCCAGCCTTGGCAATACATTCAGAAACTATAGGTATATATAGAAGGAAGTATGAAATATGGCTGAGCTTAGAATGCTGTAAGGCAAAGGCACAATCTTTCTGTAATGAGCATGTTGACATATGCTCAGTTTACCAAATGTAGTAGTTGCCTTAATTTCTGAAAAGCCAAACTAATTGCACTCTTTTCTTCATACACTAAGAGGTGGCGTTATTTGATAGTGATAGCTAAATTAAAATTGGGAAAGTGGCAATATTGTATGCCTTGTCGAAGCTTTGCCATGCCTGTAGGCATAAAGGAGACACATGCAAAGCTGCTTTCACATTAAAATGTCACTATGTGTTCTTCTGTAGCCACTCACCTATTTACATATCCAGTGGACAGTGCTTGCTGTAGGGTGACCAGCAGGCACGAGAGAAACACAAAAACTCGTATGTTGGCAAAGTACTGTAACCAGCGCGGCCGACAGCCAAGGATGCCACACTCTCGTAAGTTTGGGTCCACCTCACCTACAACAAAGGAAACAAAACCATCAGCATGATCACTGTTAAGTACTTAGGCCAAAGTGTACCTTAGTACATAGCCAAAGCTAAGTACATAAGTATTCTGTTGTCGGTAATGATACCAGTTTGAGCTCCTCATTAGATACAGAGATTGTTGTTGACTGATCCCCGTTAATAAAGCTCATGGAGGAATGCAGAATTCTGCCAGAAGTCGGTAAGTAGCTTTCGGCACCTGCATTTTCAAATATCATGATTTCGAAACACGCAAAATTTCCTAACCAGCTTTCCCCATACATCTAACTTGCTTTCACCAAGATGGGTGAATTTTCACTAGCAGCACTGTTTAAGCTATTGTGTTTTGTTATCATTCATTAATTTTGTATGCTATTAGTCAGTCCCTAACGCATCCACGCATTAATTAAGATTGTGGCACGATGTCCGTTATCTTGTTGAGGCCCGACAAACATATCTATGGAGAAGAGTGCTTGTATATTGAACTTGTCATTTACAGCTAGTTGGTTTTAATGGTGCATTAGTATTATGCATTCACTGCTGGAAATTGTTCTACAGCATTTGATGCGACAGCCTGGAGTCACGATTGGCCCATCGAAAGTTGGTTGCAGCAACTTAGACTACATTTCTTTCTGTGCCCGAGATAGGACGAGGAATTTTCACACGATACATAGGCGAGAACAACATACGCGGCAGCCCGTAGTTTCCCAAGTGCGCCTGGCCTCGTTTCGCTAAGTAGGCGCGTTTTCCACGTTTTGCTCTCTGGGCCTGTCACGCGAAGGATCATTAGACGACAAAGACAGGCCCGTTCAGCCGCAGGCTGCGCGCAAATTATCCCGCGACTAATGTCGCGCGGCGAGTGCGGTTAGTGGTACGCCACAGACGTCCTTATCTCCATTTCCCTTTCTCACTCCCACGCGCCAGGCAAAACAGGCGCGCTCACCCGTCAGGCTCGCCTTCATTGAGCTCGGCCCGCCTGGCTGCGCTATCGAGTGCCCACACGTGGAGTTACGGTATAAGATATCTTTCTCTACCCACACGTGAGTAGTTACTGTATATGCTCCCTATACAGGGACACTACCCACATGAAGGGTATCAGGGGCGTAGGCAGAATTTTTTTTTAGAAGGGGGGAGCGGGGAGGGGGGCACTACCCTGACTTGAAGTGCGGGCCGGGAAGGCAGATGTGGTCTAGTATCATTTTGTGCCCTGTATGCCATAAGAAAAAGAAAAACAACGTGGTGGGGGAGGGTGTGCCACCCCCGGGCTCTGCCAGTAAAGGGCATATATGGCTCTGCCCACATGTAAAGCATCTAGACCGAGGGGCATACGGAGTTACTGGAACGGTTTTCGTAACTTCACGTACAAAAGCTGATTCAGGCCCCATTATAAGGGGATGCTCATGGCACGGCATCCATCTATCTAGCCACCATCTATCTAGCCACAGTGAATCGTTCGGCGATCCGGCATACGAAAGTCTCATGTCACGTGAAAAGATGAAAAATTAGGTCAAAACAATGCACGCGGCCAAGCACCTTGGTTGTCGTTTACGATGACGACCACGCGCGCGACCACCAGTACGGCGACTGGCGCACTAACACCCTCTGCGGATGACGTCACAAACTGCTCGCATATGTGCTGCACGTTCCGTCATGTTGGTACTCCAACAAGGTGGTTTCAGCGATGTCAGTGCAAGTCATTTATCTATACGCTGTACCACAGGGGTCACACGTTGGGCCGATATACTGCGTGAGAAAACGATAGTTATAGCGCGAGAACAAAACGACGACACAGAGACAAGAAGCCGAGAATGGCTTGACGGAGAGTTCGCTTGCCAAGGCTGCTTAAACGCGCTGAACTTTGTGGAGCGTGCGGCCTCTACGCCATACGCTCCGTCAGGCGAGCAAGGTCGGCACGATTCGTTCGTCGCGCTCAGCGCCGAACAAAGAGCGCCCGCCGCTGTGGAGTAATTAGGGGACGCACGCTCGTCTCGTGGGAAAGGATGAGGCCCGGGATTTGGCGGGATTTAGATCACTACGGCGCACTCCGCGCGGGCGACGCTGTTTGTCCAGGGTTGTCCGTCGACGCGGCAATCCCCCTCCGAGATCGTATTCGTGTTGTACATGTGGCTTCTTCTGACAAGCGCTGGCTTCGGAGTGTACGCGTTGTCCTACAAACCTGCGACACGGGGCAGTAGTAGCACAGCCTCTGTTAGAAAGTAGAGGTAGATAGGAGAAAAGGAAACGTGTATATATCGCACGCACCTGTTACGGAGTCCCTAAGTTACGGGCTTTCCAAGCAGAGTTCGGCGACGTATCGTTTGCTCTAACACTCATAAATCGATATTACCTTTATTGATCATTGTAACCATCTCTGTAATTATCCCATCACTGATCGCAACCTGTCTTACACTTCCTCGCCCCTCTAACCTGCCAGCAACACATAAAAGTAAGCACATTCAGGGATCCCTGGCTTGTATACGACTCGCCGTTGGTGTCGCGACGGTCGGCATTTACTATTCGGTCACGCACGTCTCCGTATCACAGGCGAATCTCCATTACGTAATTACCCGGCCGCTTTACTGCTGCGAGGAAATACCCCTGCGAGCAAAGGAAAGAACCACCTTTGCCAGCAAGTCCATCGAGCATTTCGAGACAGGCGATTGTCGACGTGATTAGCGCAGCGCGGACCGCAGCTGTCTACCGCGCTTATCAGACGTACAGCAGAAACAGAATCACCGGCTATATATTCGAGGCTTGCCGTCTTTCCTTTGATGTGCCGCGACGCGAGCGGCGATAGCGCGAAAAGAATGAAAGGCGTGGCGGATCCTTATCTTAGGGCGTTGCCAAACGGCACTCTCTTCACGCAACTGCACGCCGTGTCGTGGACGTGCTTATCATGCTCGAAGTGCCCGCTCCCATGCGAGCAAACGGGACCGAAGAGAGTTGCGGAAGCGTTTACTTACGGTACAGTTGCGTGCAGGGTCATTCACACCAAGAAAGGAATAACTCTATTAATGAATGACCGAGGTGATTTGACGAATGGCTCGTTTTTTTAGATAAACACAACCAAGTTATTCTGACAGACAACTAAGCCGAGAAAAATAGGGAGATTCGAGGGGTTCGCTCCTTTACTAACAATGATACGGACCTAGAATTTTGTCGGCGGTTAGATCGCACTGGCGATACAATTAAACACGACGGGAACCTATGCGCAAAAGACGTGCACTCAGCTCATGTCCACGTACTTCAAATGTTTCGTTTATCCGCACCGAACACACTTGACTTATAAGATTAATCTGAGGAGCCACCAACAAGCAATGAAGGTCTAATCAACTGTTTTTGTTTTTCGAAGGAGGCGACAAAGCTGTAGGCCCGTGTGCTCATATTTGGGTGCACATCGAAGAACCCCAGTTAGTCGAAATTTCCGGAGCCCTCCACTACGGCGTCTCTCATAATCATATAGTGGTTTCAATCAATCAATCAATCAATCAATCAATTGTTCTTGTTCTTCCAAAACACAAGTGTGACTGCCCAATCTGATCTGCGATAAGCTTTGTATTCTTAATAAAATAAAAATGGTCATTTTCCCCCTTCTATATCAACCACTAAGCTAGCTGGTTAAGGCCACGTGAAGTGAAAAGACTATAAAATAGTAACTTCATGTTTAATTAGGTGCACTTTTCATTAGCACGCACTGCTGCTGAGTTCCCGAACAAAAATCACGGATAGCAATCCGCCCAAGATTCTTTCGCGATCCCGGTTTAAGCAAATTTATTCATCCGCCTGTATCAACCTAACCTGAACAAACAAACCAACCACCGGACTAACTAACCAACTTCACTCAATGGCTAAGGCTCAACTTTAAATGTTACCCGCGCCAACTTTTGACGAGAACACCTCCCGACACGTACACAGGCCATAATACTGGCTGAAGCTACGAATATCGCCGCTCGGCAACTCCCGTATTCTTACTGCGTTGCATGCTTATAGGCGGCAGGCGCGACCAATGGCCATAAACAACCGAGCCTGCCGGCCTGCTTCTTGAGGCGCGCGGCTCTTCCCTTGTTACCTACTCCACCAGCCGTTGAATACGAAACAGGCCACGTAAACGAGACACAAAAGGGGCCACATAAAAACAAGATGGTAATGTGTGTGTGTGCGATCCTGTATACAGCGCGTACCTGATTCGCTGACGAGAGTGGAATGACGCAGAACAGAAATCAGTGAAGAAAGAGCGACGTACTACCAACAACGCCTGGATGGTTGGTTGTTCCTCAGAGTTTTCGCGCAACCCACCACGCGGGGATCGATCGGCCGTGAAACGGATGCATTTTTCATCAGTCAATTAAGACTGGCTGCCTACAACTCGATACACCCGAGAGCTGCAGGAGGAACAGCGCAGTAGCGCACACGGATAGATAAATCAGGCAGCTAACTCTTACAGATAAAAAAAGAAAAAAAAAGAGAGAAATCGTTGGATTGTAAGTAGGAGAATAAGTAGAACTTAGTCACGAATTATTCAGCTAGCGGCGGGAAAAAAAAAAAAGGTAATCACAACTTCCTTCCCTTTTTACGTCTTCGTTTTGTTTTCTTTCCAACTTTTCTTCATTCGCTAATCTTTCATTTCTCTTACTACGAAAGCCCTTCCACACTCAGTGTGGAAAAACGTGAACTCATTGTGTGAGTGTTGTGCTATGTACATATGTATAGCCTTGTGTTTGCTACTGAATGTGCGATGTTGACTTTTGTGCAAGAGAAGAGGAGTAGCCGGCGCTACGCATTGGCACCAACCTCTCCTTACGTACATTTAATAATAATAAATAAAAAGCCCTTCACTCCGAAACGTCATCTTCATCTTTTGCATTTTGCCAGCAAAGTTAAGCTCGTTAACGCGACTGACCGGCAGCCCGCTGTTCGCTCGCACTTTAAAGTAATCCTAATCCGGGTTCCTCGAAAGCACGCTCGCAATCAGCGTGGAAGAAGCAGAGATAGGAAATATTAATAATGCCGAGCTTGCACTAACTGAAGCGTTAATTCTTCACTGCCGGGTATCGTTAGGTGCGTTATCGAAGCGGAGCGAAGGCGGTACTTATACGATTATCTCGTGCTTTCTTTTATTTCTTTTTCTTTCTCGCCATCTTTTTTTCCTCCGGTGCGAAAGACTTGCGACCGACCGTCTTATAGACACGTGATGTGGAAAAAGGTCGATCTTGGAACTCTGCGCTCGAAGATTGCATTAAAACCGGGGCGGTCTTGCGCTTTTCCCCGCGCGCAAAGTCAACTATGACTAAATGGTTTATTCAAGTACAGTAATAAAGAAAATATCGGTGAGGCATATTGAATATAAATCGGAATAGAAATTGGTGAGGCATATTGAATATAAGAACAGTGCAACTACAAAGACTCACGAAGATAACAGCGCTGTTTCTGTTATCTTCGCGAGTCTTTGTCGCACTGTTCTAACATTTTTTAAACAATGCGATTAGAATACCAAATGTGTGCTGCTTAAAATACTCCGTAACAAGCCCTCGTGGGCTATAGTAAGTGAAAGTCCTTAGCGCTTTTTTTTTTTTTGCGCGAAACGACAACACAATACAGAAGACAGGCCAAAACACCTTGTCCTGTCGCCTGTATTGTGCCATCATTTTGCGCCAGAAAAAAACAAAAACGCTGTGGGCTCTAAATGACGTTAGCGAGCGTCACTGTTAGACAGACAAAGCGGAAAGCCACAGGATGATCAGCACCTCAAGAAAGGAAAATAATAATAAAAAAAGAAAGGCTGGACGCCATGGAGAGCACTTTTTCTAAAAATTTTGGCTGGTTCCCGGATGACTGCGTTTCAGCGGCTCAATGGGTTTGTTTAACGAATAATAATAATAATAATATAAAATAATAATAATAATAATAATAATAATACATTATTGATGGGTTTTACGCACCAAAACAACGATATGATTGTCGCGAATGGTTCCGGAAACTTCGACAGCCTGGGGTTGTTTAACGCACACCCAAATCCAAGCCCGCGGGCCTCAAGAACTTTCGTCTCCGCCGAGAATGCGAAAGACTCTCAATCCCGCGACCTTCGCCTGAGCGATCAATGCCAAGAAAGAAAAAGACTAGATTGGTGGCCAGGGACCAAGGTTTTTTTTAAATTTTTTTGGCTGATCGCCCATGTCGTTCGCCTGTCCGGACGACAGTTTCAATGCTCGGACGTCTCGTTCGATTGCGCGTATAAAAGGCGTTGGCTTTCGGCTCGGTCTCACTTGAAGGCCGCCGGGAGCTGGAGGAAAGCACTTCGCGCTTAAAAAAAAAAAAAAAAAGAGAAAAGGGCGTATACACCCACCGAGGTCGGGCCTGAGCAGGCGTTCTCCGCGGTGCTCTCCCCCCGCCCTGGCGAACTCGGCGGCGCTGCTGTACGTCACCTCGGACAGCGGGTGGTGGTGGTGCACGTGGTGCAGGTGGTGGTGACCCGAAGAGCTGCCACCGGCCCCAGAAAGCTGCGATTAGAGGGGGGGGGGGGGGGAAGAAAAGGGGTTCTGTATAGATGAACCGGAAATCGCCCTTTGGGAACTGTTTGGTACAGTGCGTAAGCGTTATCGCGTTTACATTAAAGGGAGGTACACTAAGGAGAAAACAAATTTTTCATGCATTTGGATAGTAAAACTTTGCTATCCACAAAACACCGCGACACGACGCTTCGTATAAGCGAGAAGATGCGCGAACAGAAATCACGTGTGGAGACGCCACCTGGAGATTTCTGCACCAAACACCACGACGTACGTATGGCCTCCGAGATAGCGGGCGCCCGCCATCTCGGAGGCCATGACGTATGCCGTACGTTTTGAAGGCTTCTACCGTGAAGGCGTCTATCGTTCTACTCGATAAAAATAAAGTACCCTGTAATTTGCAGCTGCCATACACCTAGCATGCGAAGTTTCAGAAAATCTATTGAGCAGATGTTGCTTAACTGCTAAAAATACATTTCGAAATTTTCGACGTCACGCGCGGAGATTTCGACTTGAAAAGGGAACTTCTACCTTGATTTTCTTCCAAGGAGGTTTAAAAAAATTGCTGGAGTGCAAGCTGCCAAAATGCTTTGCCAGCAGTAGTGAAGCCAACTTTTGCTCTCGAAAGGTCTCAGAAACATCTTATTTTCTGGTGGTGCCCACTTAGACATCAAGTGGCTTTGATTTGTTAGACTAAAAGAATCGTTAAATATAAGTTAAAATATAGTTGTCTCTGAAAATTTAATCCGCGAGGACTAGTATCAGTGACTTAATCTCCAATAAAGCTTGCCTTGAATTCGAGGCTTCCTAAAGAAAACTAGTAACACAAAAACGCACTTTGAGCACTATGTGACCAGAAAAGGTTGCCACGTTAAACTCGTTGGGCGTGCGAGCAAAAACGCTCCTTCCCAATCGCCGTATGTCACACAGCTCATCGTGCCCCTAGTAAGATGACTGCCGCAGCCATCGTACGGATGGCACGGCTTCACTCGTGGGCAAGAATTTCCACTCCAGCAATGTTTAAAGTGTGAATACACTTTATGAGCGACCCCAAACCATCCACCGCCGTCGGCGGCGTCCGCAGTCTTCTCTCTATCATTAAAAGAAAGACGACTTGGCGGGCCGCAGCGCGACGCTCTACCGAATAAGCCACGGACGCGACGCTGATATCGGTGTCAGTAACGCGCCTTATACCCCCTCCCCCTTCGCTCGCTCCTCCGCTCTCCTCGCTCGCTGCAGCTGCGCGCGCACCCCTCTCTCTCGCGCGCCCGCCTTCTCTCTCAGTCTCCCGTCGAGAGCGGGTCGTGAGGGGGAGTAAAGTTAAAATCCGTTGGCATTCGCCAGTGAGTTAACGTGAACTCCCCCGTGTGATCAAATTGCGATTCCCAGGAACCATTACACCATAAAGGCACCATAGTGTGATTAATAAATATATTACTGCGAATTAATAAATACCCCTCATAGCATCACCCCGTGTATTCGCACTTAACCATGTTCACCCTCGGGGAAATGCTTGGGAGTTTTTTAAACCTCCTTGTTTTCTCGGCTAATAATGCACTTACCGTAATAATGAAACTTATGGCATAGGATCTCTCAGAGCGTAGTTTATCAATTTGAACTAAGTCGTCTTTTTTTCTTCGTGTCCTTTTAAAAGACTACGGCGACAGAAGCAACTGTGGCAAATTGCGCTCTGCGGAAGGTGGCACAAAGGTAATGAAAGTGTTAGCTTACAAACAACCGTTTGTATCACCAAGTCGCAGTGAATTTCCTCGTGGTTTCGTGCCCCAAACGGGTGATATTCACCAATTGATTGATATGTGCGGTTTAACGTCCCAAAACAACCGTATGATTATGAGAGGTGCCGTAGTAGAGGGCTCCAGAAATTTCGACCACCTGGGGTTCTTTAATGTGCACCCAAATGTGAACACGCGGGCCTACAACATTTATCTTCACCAATTAGCCTTTTCGGTAGCAAATGTAAGGTACATCGTTTAGCGAACACTACAAACGCCATTTCGCCAATGATAACAGATATTGGACTGTTTGGTTTAGTTGGTTGTCGCGGCAGCTAGCGGCCTGCCTTCTTTCTGACGACCACTGTGAGATCGAAGGAGTGAGAAACCGATATAAAGCCTTCAATTCAAGCCTAATGCGTACGTGTGTCACGCGACTATTTTTCTATCAGAAATGAGTATTATGGGCGACGCCTACAGCTAGGACAACTTTAATGCTTGTTTAAATAAACTGGGCGAACTAAAGTTTGAAGGAATGGGAAGGAGGAGAGGATGCGAGAAAAATTAAAGATGAGCCCCAGCGCACGTGACCCGAGCAGCCGGCCTTCAAAATGACTGCCGCATTGTTGGGCCGACATCCTTTGAACTTCATCTATTCCAGGAATGTCTCAAAACGCGCGGCCCACTGACCTTTTCGCAAGCGGTGCCAGGACCGCACAAGACCGACTTCGCCCCATATTTTTTTTTTCTTGATAAGTACGTCCGCAAGAAAAGACGAGCTTGAGATCCCCAATCCATTCCGAAAAGCAGGCGTGTTATTAGCGCTCGACGGATAATGGCCCACATGCCGTTTCATCGTTTTCATCGCTTTAACCAAGAAGGTTTAAAAAACTTTAAACCTCTTTGCCCCCCCCCCCCCCTTTTTTTTTCTAACATGAGACAAACAAATGCGTAGCTGGAAATGAAAAAAAAAAAAAAAAACTTGCGGGCAGGGGTTCCACGAGATATGAATTTCTTCTGTGTTAAGATAAGGCGTTTTATAGCGCAAGCTGTTTTGAGATCACAACAAGGGTACCGTATACCTGTCCGCCGCCATGGACATTGTCCGTAATTGCTCTCTCGCGAAAAAAAAATAACAATCAACCAACTGAACGGGGTTCGAACCTGGGTCCTTTTCGTGGCAGCACAGTAACCTACGCCGTTTTTTTTTCCTCTTGTCATTTCTTTGCTTGAAAACTTAGCGCACTGAAACCATATACAAACGATATGTCGGGAAGGAACCGCGTCAATATGCGTAACGTAGCGTGGTAGAAGAGTAATAATATTATCAGGCGTCACACAGTATGACTTGCATAACGAGTGGGTTATTGAATGCGTCCGACCCATTACAAAAGGTTCAATCATAATTCTTCATGTTCATCTGCCACCGGTATTGGAAAAGTGGGCACCTTGCAATAGAGAGAGAAAAACGTTTATCACGGCAGAAAAGCTGAGAGGTCGGCCATAATCCATTTTCTCGCCTGCTACTCAGCGTTAGGAGAGAGGAGGGGCTGGAATACAGGGGAGAAGGGTGTTCAATACAATAAAAAAAGTGGCGATGAAGGAAAATTTTGGATCAATTTATAGTATCTTGTCCGAGTTCTGTCTTTCGTAAAAAAAGTTGTTCGGAGCTTTCAGAATATCGCGTTCTCATGACGAGGTGGTGGTCCCAACACAGTACTTTTGTTGAGAAACTTCCTGCTTCGTACACTTCAACAAGACGGTGGCCATCGAATTTCTTTGGGCGACATACCGCGGGCAGACGCACTATATATGCTCAATTGTTTCAGGGGTGTCACAAGCCTCACAATTGGGCGTGTCTGCACGACGATACGATGCATGCAAGGATGAGTGAACGCCGCACCTAATCAGTGCAGTAAGCCCGTACTGCACCTCTAGCGGTCGGTGGTAATCTAATATGCATATATATGGATTGACTTCGTGAATATGGCGGTGACGACCGGTGGCTTGGTAAAAGCCATTGATTGATATGTGGGGTTTAACGTCCCAAAACCACTATATGATTATGAGAGACGCCGTAGTGGAGGGCTCCGGAAATTTAGACCACCTGGGGTTCTTTAACGTGCACCCAAATCTGACTTGGTAAAAGCCAATGTTGGGGCTTAGTAGCCCCAACAGTTTGCCGCCGGGTTCTAGAAATGACGCTCTCCCAGCTTTCGCTGTGATTGTGCTGCCCTTTCCACGCAAGCCTGGCGTGTTTCTTTTTTTTTTTTAATTGAACGGACTTTGTACGTCACAAAATATAGTGGAAAGCGAAACTTTGGATTAGAGGCTACGCGCTCCTGCTTTCCAGAAACAGAGTAGCTTTAGCATGCTGTAACGTCTCGTGAACCACTGTACTTCAAACAAACAAAAACAAATTACGATAGAAAAAAAAGGGAAAAGAAAAACGCCTCGTGATATTGCTCTATACAAGATAGTCAGGTCATATGCGAAACTGGAACACTGCCGAATCATTACGTTCGACTCGCCGCTAATGGCAACGTCGTCTTCGAGCGCCTCCTTCAATAATGCTAATAACGTCATCATATTTTTTTTCTTCAGCGATTTGAACCGCCAAGCGATCGGCATCTATCACAGCTAGGTGCCTACACAAGACAACGCAGAACAGGTCGAAGCCGTATGTATGAGAACGACTTTCGTCCTAATTGGCCGCTGCAATCGCGATCTCTACTGCATGGCCTGAAAATGATAAAAAAAAATATCTAAATCGAAGAGCGCCGCTGCACTGCATTATTCCGATCACTGGTGCGAAAAAGAAGAGTCGCGCAAAGCAGGCTACAACGCAGACGTCGTCAGGATCGAGACGAAGCTCCACCAATTAGCATTCGAAGATTAACACCAGTTTCTAGAGGCACGTGAGATGCGAGTGCGTTAAGATTCTTTCCGCGAAACGGCTCTCTCGTTAAGCCGAGGCGGAACGCTATCGATCCACGCTAAAGTGGACCATTAACAGAGAGAATTCGAAACGATCGGGGCTTTGTAAAGCAAAGCTGTTCCCGACTCTTATAGAGTCTCCCCCGCCCTTTCGCGGATGGAATTCTGGCAAATGAGGCGCCAATACCGTATACTCACTATTCCGGACACTTTCAAACTCAGTAGTAAGTCTTGTTCCTGGGTTTGCTTATACACACTCGGTGGAATGCAAAGCTTACCGGAATACTCGCTGCGCGTGCCTTGTTCACGCGTCCTGTAATTGCGCTGCCTTTCTTCAATCGTTTCTTCTAACACAACCAAGTTTCTAGATAAGATAGTCCGCCACGTTATCGAATTCCGTCGATTTCACCAGCGCTCTTTTCTACCGCTTCTATTCTGCGTGCCGCCATAAAGCTGCGCTGAAAACCGGTTTGCACCTTTAAGGGTGTTTTCCGCGTCTATAACTAACACCATACGATAAGGGTGTTTTGATTTGTCGAAACACATTTATCGTAGAGTGTAAGTTATAGACACGTTGGGTACGCTCAAGGGCGCAAACTGGTTTACAGTGTGTTTTCAAGTTTCCGTTAAGAAATCAGATGGTACATGATACGCAACAGCTTCAAGTTCCGTAACCCCAATCATGGACAAAATGATGTGTTCAACACCACGGCCGAACGAGACGATAGGACGGAAACCTTCAGTGACAGTGTACAATAAATGGTAAACGGTGACTCGGTTTTATAACCCAGTTCATGACTCCCGACGTTATAAGTTAATCGTAAAGCTTTGTTCAACGCCTTGTACGCACGCCTGAGGTCTATTAATAATAACTGTTGGGGTTTCGCGTCGCAAAACCACGATATGACATTGAGGGTCGCCGTGATGGACTCCGGAAATCTCGACCACCTGGGATTCTTTAATGTGCACCCTAATGTAAGTGCACGGTCCTTCAGCATCTCGTCTCCATCCGACCGATATTTCCCACTGGGCCGGACGGCATGCGGTTCCTTGGTGTCCTAAAGTTGTGAGGTGCCCTCTTTAGGAACCAGTGCGCTCGTGCCACACGCTAGCCGTCCGGCGGTTCCTAGTGGTAGCAGGCCGGGCCGAGGCGTAGCCGAGGGCCACGGCTAAACCTCGCCTCGCATCTGTCGGATCATCGTCATAGTCTTCGGCTGCCCAAGGAACAACATCGCAATCTAGATACCACAATACGAACGACGGCATAGCTGGCTCATGGCGCCAACAACCTGGCTTTTAGCAACAAAATGATTGCTACAATATTTCTAGAAAAGTGACAACAGCACACTCCGGACACGACCGCATCACCAGAGACGAGAGCCCTCGGTCCTAACCGACAATGCACCCCCTCTCCCCATGCTATTTCGAGAAAATTGTAAAGGGTTTTACACAGATCTGCATTACACTAGGATGTTGTGACTGGAATGAACTGACTGGCTGGGACACACGGATCAGCTGACAACACTGGACTTAGGCTACAAAAAGAGCAAAAAGTCACGAAGCGGAACATGGACTGACCGACTTCAATGACCGACACTTCGAATGACTGAATAAAATCATTGAATCAGAGATCGATAACGAGCTCGGGCCCACCTGGTGGTGCCTCTGCTGCCACTCGTAGAGCGGCGCCAGCGCCAGCGTGGACTCGGACTGGGCCAGGGGCGGCAGCGTGGTGCCGTGGTGCGCGTACAGGCCCATGGTGGTGTAGATGCTCAGGTCGCGGGGCCCATAGTTGCCGGCGCTCTTGGTGCGCCGGTGGCCCCGCGCCCAGTGGGGCTGCTGCTGGTGCTGCTGCTGGAGCGAGCCGTGCGGCGTGAAGTGAGAGTCGTCGCGACTCATGAAGCACGGCGCCATCTTGGCGCTCAGGTCCAGGCAGCTGGACGTCATCGCGGGGCAGTTGGTTTGTGCGGAGGTAGAGGGAAGGGGTTTTGTGGCTCGTGGCCGCTTAGGGGCTTTAGCAGCGCAGCGCCGGCACCACCACCACTCCCGGCCTTCTCGTCGTCTCGGGGCAACCGCAGACGCGACCCCGCATGGCTGCAGCTGCTACAGCCGCAACCGCCGCCGCTGCTGCCGTGGCCTTCGGATGCTGCAAGCAGTCACGGCAACTAGAGGTAGAGAAAAAAGAAAAGAAACAGAATACAGTGTGAAACGAATGTTTAGCAACACAAGGGCGATCAATATTATACGCATGTATCAACGCACATTAAGAGCTACTGCACATAAACACGTTACACGTGGTAAGGCGACCATTGAAGATGCATGCACCTCGTAAGTGGTGAGAAAGTGCGTTTTTCGAGTGACGTAGTCAAAATATTTTTTTTTCTTTCTTACTATAAAAATAGGGAGGGGAGGGGGCCGGTTGGAGGGCGCGTCACTGATTGTGAACAGGAAGCTGACAAGCGTGTTTTGTCTGTCTCGGTCTCGGTTTCAGCAATAAGAGCAAATGATGTTTTGGAACGGAGCCGAGCACCCGCTTCAATACGACCTTACGTTTCGAACTGGGTCCGATAAGGGAAGGCTTTATGCTAGATATTTCATTGACAGGCAAACCGAAATTCCACCTCCGGCCTGTTCCACCTCCAGGCTAGCTACATGGGCTCGGAGGGCAAGAATCCATATGTTTAAGACGGTTCATTGAATGTTGGACAGCCAAAAAAGAAAGTGACGAAAATTTCGGCTCCCACGAAGAAGTCGAAACTTTATAAGACGTTCGTCAATACCCTTCCTCTCCTTGCCCACCCGGTTTCTTTTTTTATTTTTCATCTCATGACAGTACCTATCATCATGAAAGTAGTCACTTTTAACGAGCACGTTTCACGTCCGAGCTCAAACCGATTCCCTAAACACACATAACACACGCTGTCGTTTGAAACGTGTAGACATGCAGTGTTGCTAGCCCCCTGCTACACCCTCCTTAAAACACAATTCAATATTACAGCTTCAGTACTTAGTGCCACTTTAAAAGGACACCAAAGGCAACTATGAGTCGCCGTTGATTGTTGAAATAACGGTCCACAAGCCTCGTAGTGTTACTTTTGTGCCAAGGAAAAATAAATTTTGAAATGAAATCACGTTTTAGTGGTCCTCATCGGGTTAGCATACTTCAATTGCCTGCTTCAAGAAGCGGAACGTCTCAGCTCATTGTTGCCGTGCACAACGTTGCCCAGCTTTACTGCGCGGTCGCCGACACTAGCATACAGAACGAAAGCAGCGGGAGCCACAGCAGCAACAACAGCCATTGATAAAATCTCTGCCATTGGCTCCGAGATGGCAGACGTGTTTTGGTTCAACTGCGCCCCGCTAGATGGCATGACCTGTCCAGTGTAACCACGCAAAAATTTAATATTGAACCACTCTCGCCATTCCCCATAATCACGACCGGCGGTTCTTTTTTCCACGAATCAAACATACACGAAGAAGCAGCATTTTATTGCGTCTCTTGATGCACGGAAGGTTCTTTATTTAGTGCAGCTAGATAGACTACTAATGATTAATTGTAGGCGGTTCGTCTGACGTCATCGGTATCATTTTGAGAATGTTCTACTGTGGCGCATGTATTCTTGTGCATTTACCCTGATTTCTCGGTCAGTAGGGCAGCTGTTGATAATATTGTCGTTTTAGATGTCATACATTGAGGTTTAACTCTGACGTAAATGATTACTTGAGTTTAGTGTCCCTTTGAAAAGTCAAACCGCGTGAGTCAGCGATTACAGACGCAGCAAAATGGGCAAAGAAGGGGGTCACAAATATGACAGCAGCGTCAACCCAAACGACTCTGACAGCGCAAGCACAGCCAACAAGAAGGGGGACACGTTTCGTTCCCGGTTTCAGCAACACGAGCATTACAGCAAATGACGCGCAATCGGGTCGTTTCGGAACGGAGCCGAGCGCCCGATTCGATGCGAGATCATGTTCAGAACTGGGTCGGATAAGGAAAGAGAAAAAAAATCTCCGATAGCTTACAAGACGTACGTGGTGTATATTTGAAGAGGCAATAAACCTTAAAGGCACGCCTTGAAGAAAGACGCAAGAAGAAAGGAAAAGGCAATAATACAAACTTGTTCAGCCACTCGCTTTTACGACCACTCGTCTTGTGTGTTCAACAATAAATAAGAGAAGGAAAAAAAAAGGAAGGAAGACCACACAGCAGCGATTGTCCCGAACTGTTGCTCGTATATATTGCGACACGGCAAAGAAAAAAGAGAAGTTTAAGAGAGAGAGAGAGAGAGAGATGTGGTTCGAAGTAGTACAGGGAGATTAACCGAAATGCAATTATCCGGTTTGCTACCCTGCAATGTCCCCGGGAAGGGGGAACGGGAGACAGAAAGGTAAGGAAGGAAGTGTAAGAATAATAACATAATTTTAGGGGTTTGACGCCCCAAAACCACTATATGATTATGACATACGCAGATGTTTCAAGAATGCACCATCTGACACATTGTGCAGATCACCGTACCACAAGCAAACGAGTATATGACACACACGTCTCAAGTAGTATTAAACGTGAAAATCACGCTTCTATACTAACCATTCAGCGAATCATATTCACAGCAATGAACTTTCCTTGCGTTAACCGACGGTTCCTGCGCTTGAAGCGTGGATGTTCAAGCGCGACTGAACCGGCGGTGCTATAATTGCTATCGTTAAAACGGTTTATGGGGACCCTGACTTCTGCGTGAACAGTCGCGACTGCAATCGTGGCGCGACTGTTGACCCAGGAGTCAGGGTCCCGCCACGTCGCTTCAGAAGTCCAGGCGGGGTTTGTCGAACGCACAGCAGCAGGGCTATTGCCAAACGCGCCGGTTGGGCTCACTCGCTATATGGAAAGATAGCTTGTGCGCTTTCTTTCGTGGCCTGTACCTCTGCCTATGTACTGTAATGATCAGAAAGCGGTGACAGGACTCGGGCGTATGCGTTATTACAGTACCTACATCACCAAATTTTGCAGGTGGCAATCTACAGCACGTTGCAAAATAGTACTGGCGCTCTGGTATCTTACTCTTCATTATAGAGCGGGGGAGGGGAGGGTGGAGAAGCGGGACGAGGAACGGGACGATGCTTTTATTTGAAATCAATTGTACTTTCTCATCTCCACCCAATCGCTCATGGTTTTTTCACCTGCGTGAGGTGACGGCAGTTACTCGGCCCGCAGCCCAGGCTCATTGGCGGTTGCCTCTGCCCGGCCCTTGATCCAGACCTAATCGTCCGGGTCAGACCTGAGCATGCAGTGCGGCTTCCCAGAGCTGGATCGTGACGTTTCTGAAACACTGCGAACTATAGCACAGGTACACGTACTCGCACGTCCCCGTATGCACGAAAGAGGTATAAGCCTGGGGAGGTTGGCACAGCTTCCACTGAGGTGTAACGACCGTCGTATAGGATCAATATATTATATAGTACAGGATTTGGGTTGGAAATGAGTGCCTCTAGAGCGGCCTCCACAGGAGCTCGTGTGATTCATTTAGCGATTCGTGCGCCGGGGGTGAGCGAGATATGGCGAGTCTATAAAGTTGAGTATTTTATGGTACACCACCATACATACGGGGACGTGTCGACCGAATTCCACGTTTCTTCACGAGTTCACCTCACGTGCTTTGTCGTGTCCGACTATATGTTAGAGACATTTAGTTCGTGCGTAGACCACTCAGTGCTAGCGCAATATCCAATTAGCGAAGCCATAAGCGTGAGCGGCCGCATAGCAGGTGTCATCTGGTCGCGTGGAGATGAACCAGGCAAGCACGAAATGGTTATTACAGAAAAACAATAAATTACGCTTCTCTTATTGGTAGATTCACGCCAGCAGCGCGATTCCGAATGCATTGCTTTTCAAAACATATTTTTTGCAAAGACACTCGGCGAAAACAGGGAAACATGTCTATAGTTACAAGTTGTACGACGCGTCACAAGACGTCAGTCAAGTTAACCGGTAACCTTGTATACTAGAATGTAAACAATACCATACACGCTAAAGCTCCTCATTACTACCCGAATGCGCCATATATATATATATATATATATATATATATATATATATATATATATATATATATATATATATATATATATATATATATATATATATATATATATATATGTATATATATATATATATATATATTAGAAACACCTGTTATAGGGTGCTGTCGTGCAATACGTGCGCGAAACCAGAATAAACGGCGGTAAAAGCTGTTGCGTTTGCCGAAACGCGAAATAAAAGAAAATGAGTCGTCCTGAATAACACTGCAGCCGTCAGTGACGTATATACGTCATTGTTCTCCAACAACAACAACCGGCTTCGCCTTCCGCGCTTGCATCACACACGCTCGTAAAGCATATATATATACACGCCCGCGGCCGTTGTGCGTACTATACATGCACGCGGTAGATCACCGCAATTTACGGCGTCGTTTGGCTACCGAGGGTTCTCTGTATCGCGTGCGTATACGCGAAAAGGCAAGATATATAGCGGCATACAGCTACGGAAACAAAGAAATAAAGATGCGGGGAAGACCAACTCTCGCTTTCGCGCACACAAAGGCCTCCCTCTTCCTGGCTCGGACGTACGTAAATAAACCCCGACCAAGAATAATACGCGATAAAGAAAAAGGGGGGATATCGCACGAGGTGTGTGTACTACCGCCGTCTATTTGCGGCGTCGGCGACCGAATGGACGCCACGAGTCCCATTGTATTTCGTGCGTGAGCGTTTCCCGGGTTACGGCGCACACGATGGGTGCGGCCAAAGGAAGCCGTGGTGTGTCCCTGGGTGGGCAGAGACACCTCGTGTTTCATTCAGGAGGCTCCAGTGGGGCACGTTCGCTCGAGCGGCCGCGCGCTGCTGAGAACTGAATCGGGACCAAAGAAAGCACGTTCTATAAATGCTCGACATGGCAGTGGCGATTGAGACGGGTAGCACGACCGATTTCGACTGGCGACTACAATGAGCGGTGTCACACGGTGCATTGTTGATTCACGATTAAGCCCTATCGGAACGAAATGTTTCTAACAGTGACTGGCTCCATTGTGCCGCTTGCGTAAAGGAGCCAATCACGATAAAGTTATTCGATGCGGACCAGGCCCGATCGCGATCAAAAGTGACAGTGCGA